GCAACGATGAGAGAGGACTGAGAAAGGTAGAGACCAAAGGTAATTCCGTTTGTGTCCCTTTCTATCCTGCAGATTGGCACGTACGAAGCCGCCACGGCTTCGATCCTCCGACTTCGTTGTTTTTCCCCGCATGAATTTGCTCCAAGCCTTGTTAAGTCCTTGCTTTCGGACCGCGTTATAATGGCACAAATAATGACCCGAACGCGAACGCGCGCTCTCGTAATCTACTACTAATCTAATCGGATAAACGGCCGACTTTCAACATTGATTTTTCAAATTCTACTCCGATTTTTATAACACACACACACACACACACATTTGCGGTGTGTTAAAAATTTATTTCACGTGTACATTTATTATATATAAAAGAAAATAATGCCCAAGAAAAGCTATCTCCCAAAATTTCCTCTTTCTCTCTCTTCTAAAATTATATGTACAAAAATATTTATTTATCCATATTTTTGTAATATTCATTATACTATTTAAACTGTGCTTATATCTTTAAAAATATTAAACAAAACATTTGCGCGATTTTTCACCGAAGGATAGTATACACTTATGTCAAGGATTTAAGGATGTTTTGTACCTATTTTCATAATATTGAGAATTTAATGAAAATTGTACAGAATGTCCTTACATATGTTTAGAATCTTCAGTACAATTTTTAAATCGATTCATTAAGGCGTTCACAAATTATAAGGATTTTAATTTGCTCCGAATTAACATGTATTCTTATGAGAAACGTATAACGTCGATTTAAATGACAAAAACACATGGAAATAATATTCAGAATTTGTTTAAAATTTGCAAAAGTTTAGATACAGAGGAAATATTTGGTCAAATAATATTATACAAGTACTAACTGGTTAAAAAGATATTAAATGTAATTCAATGAAGTTAGCCATGTATCTGTCACAAGGCGAAATTCTCTGCCAAAAGTGAATCATTTCGATTAACAAAATTCGGAATATTTCAGTAAAAACGCAATAAATATTAAAAAATACATCTCTGCACTGTAGATCAAATTGTAATATTCCACACAATTTCTCATACTCAAAATACACTAAAAGTGGATATTCGTCAATATTGATCAATATTTTCAGCTACTTTTTGCTGAGATTGTACATACAAAACATCCTTAAAATTTACGACTGAATAAATTATTATCATATATCGTTAATGAAAAAATAATCTCGCGAAATATGACAACTATTTTCTTTACGAAAAGATTATATATAGATTTAAAATATTTTTGTTGTGGGTATTGAATACATATTTATATTAAACTAAACAGTAACACTTATAAGCAAAAGAAAAAAGATAAAACATAAAAAAAAGAAATATATTTGTCGAATCTGATATTTTTTGGACTTTCTGCTTTGCCTGTTTCTATCTACATTTTACATTTTTAAATTTAATCTCGCTTTTTACTTTTAATCTCGCTAAAATAGGCATCGTATTTACATCTTATCTCATCGCGATCCTCTTATCTAAATATTTTACGACTAGTGCTAGCGGTCGGTGCACGCTAAATCGAACTGCTGGTTGACGTAAAACTACTACTAGTCCAGGTGACCTCTAGGTGAGGGACTATACCCTACCGAGAGAGAGACTTGTTTGCCGAGCGTTGGCTTAACGAGCTTTATTAACGATAATCGATTCGCGTAGTTATAGAGCGTAACGATTGATCGTACGAGGTCGATGTGCCGCTGTTGAGTTCTATCGCGACTGCTTTGTCCATAAATCGTTCTCGATGGAAAGTAATAATGGCGTTCTATCGCGTCGCCATTATTTAGTCGCTTATGACGGTTTGCCAATCGCGGTATCTCGCATAATCGTGCGCATTTTCGACGTCGGTCCGTTTTACTTTCCTGTCGAATCGAGATACGGAATTATGTCCGATAATTCTCATTGCGGTTTGATCTGAATCGCCGCGTTGATCGTTTGCGAGTTTCTCGATATTTTTAGAAATGATTAAGATATTTAGTTTGTGTGGAAAGTCTAATGTAGGAAATAACGAACGATATATTTATCATAATTCAATAATCTTTAACACGAAAACAATATTCGTTTTTAAATTATAATCGACAAATATATTTTTGACACATGGTTTGAGAGGATTTTACAAATTATTTGCTGCAAATACAGTTCAGTAAACATTTTCTAAATTTTATTTAATTAGATTTATTGGGCAAATATTTAAAATTAATATTTAAAATATTCAATATTAAAAAAAAATATTTCATCAATATTTAAAATATTTAAAATATTCCGAAATATTTCATAGTCATTTATCAGAGATTTGCAGAAAAGAATCGATACGAAAAACTATTTACACTCTCTGGCAATCTGTATTTTACACTCCTTTCATTGTCAGATGTATCGCAGGACGCAACGAGACCCACCAACGAGCGTGACTCGCTGAAGTAGTCCTTATTAAATCTTCCCCCGTCTCCATTAGAGGCAGAAATTACGGATAATCCTTTTTATTACGCACGCTACGCGGACTCCCATGGAAGGAGAGCGCAGAAAGGCAGCCGGGTACGTTGAAAAAAAGTCGGGATGGGTCGCGGCCACGGTTCGACGCGGCATGGTGGTCCGCGCTTCCCATTCCCGACAACAAAGCGCTTTTAAACAATCTCCATTGTGCCCGTAATCCCGAGCCATGCGTGAAATCAACACGTTTTTCCACTTAATTGACAAACACACGCCTCTCTGTCCGTGTATTCCCGACGCGCACCTATCAAATATGACTTTATAACGGTTACATATCTCGAGAATATGCGTGTAACGAGTAATGTAACCATGTTATTTTTCCATAAATGTACCAGTCCATGCCACACGATCATAGGTTGGAGCAGAAGTGAATCCCCTGGATTTTCATCAGCTTGAGACATGCGTTGTGTATAGATGATTGTAAGAAATACTAAAAGAGTTTCTGTTGAGAAAGCTTGCAATATACGTGAGATGTATTTAATATTCATTCTTTGAAATTTGTTTTTTTTTCGTCATTAAATTGGACTTTTTAAAAAATCGATAAAATTGTACTTTTTCTTAAAGTTTATTCTGGTCTTGTGATAGATATAAATTTTGCAAATTATTAATGTGCTGCATGATATATGAACACTTTAAATCGTTTTTAAAAGTTTTTGGAATCTTAGAAATTCATTATATGCTATTATAAAAGATTAAAGAAACTTAAATCTTAATTTCTAAAAAAAGATTTATATATATTTTATTATTAATATATATTTTACTTTTGTTTTTTGATTTTTACACAATATAAATTCAAAATTTTCCCAGCGAAAAATATATACGTGTGTAGTTTCTGTCAAAATATATGAAATTCTTATTAAAAGAAAAAAAATTAAAAAATTGAAAATGTGCATAAATCTCGAAAACTGCTTAATTTTGAACACTTGAAGGGTTATTAAAACAAGAGATATATCATTAAATATGAATATTATAATTATATCGATAAAAAAGAATTCCAATTAAAAAATAGATATTTTTATATTTTTGAAATTATATTTTTGAAAGAGAAGAAGGGAGGAGGCAGTGGTCAGACACAAAATATATATAAATCTCAAAATAAATTTGTTTCAAATTAAAATGTTTAAGGAAAAATTAATAAGCAAAGGAGTAGAAAATGTCCTGTAAATATATATTTATAATATGAAGTTCCCATTGTGGATGACATTTAAAACCATAAATTTAATTTATAAAAATATATAAATAGTGAATGACGACGAAGGATAAAATTTAAAAGGATTATTCGGTAAAAGAATCAAAGAAACAACACTTATTTTTAGATATATCCTTATTTTACGTATATACAATAATTTATTTCGCTACTAATCGTTTCTACATTTACAAATCGTTTTCACTCGAGTGAGTATAGAATACAGATGGATGCACAAATGTACGAATGTAACGAGCAGCCTCTTCTTTTAATGAACGCGACATTTTGAATAATTAAATTGATACAATTAGAGATCGCATTATTTAGTGACATTGATGTAGTTTCAAATTTTACAAATTTCATATCGATCTCTATTAACTGGATTTTTTCCGTATAAAGGGAATCAAGCGCCTTCGTGTCTTTATATTTTGATAATATGAATCTAAAATATAGATTTTTGGAGAATTTTTTTTTCGATGTAAGACTTCATGTCGTAAAAATAACATAATAATAATCATTTACGGTGTAATAATGTAAATCTTAATCTACTTCTGAAATCGATGATTGGTTTTCTTAAAATTTAGTGTTAATAAATTATTTATACATTAATCTATAAATATATATTTACATTTTTACAAAAACAAGTGAATAAATACACATGAAAAAAAAAACAAATTAATAAATATGTTACATTCATTATCCGTTACCGGATTATTATAAAAAATGTATATAATAAATTTTTTTATAAATATTCTTGGAAAGAAAGAAATTTGTAGATTTCATCGATTGGTTAAATCTAGGGCACTTGGTTCCTTTTATATAAAATACTCCAATTAAATGTAATTACAATATAAAAGCAATATACTTTGGCATTCATATACAAAATATATCACATAAAATGTTACAAAGTGTGTGTGTTTTCTCCGAAACTATTAAAGGTAGCGAGGATATTCTGTTCTGTTCTTTCTTTTTTATGGTTTGTTAGGACCTTTTAAATGACAGACAGGGTACCGCCGTCAATCTCTTAAAAAAAGATAATACCTCACTTTTTAAATGGAATAGTAAATATAAATTTCTGCATTTTTAAATAGATTTCTTTTAATATGACAACATTTATCTGAAATATGTTTCTTTTATATATCTTATAATTAAAGAAAAGTATTTCTTCGTTTATATCTTACATAATTAAAGAAAAGCATTCTTCGTTATAATTATTTAATTATGCAAAATATGAAAAACCGTTTTAAGTAAATATTGTCATGTTAAAAAAAGATCTGTTCAAAAATTAATACGCTACTTTAAAATAAAAAAATAAGGTATCGCCTTTTTAAATCTTTTTTTTAAGAGATTTGCGACGGTTCCCCATCTGTCATTTTAAAAGGCCCCATAAAAATTGCAAAAAGAAATATCCTCGCTACCTTTAATAGTTTCGGAGAAAACACCTTATGACACCTTATGCGATACGCCTGTATATCGCAAAGTTAATTTTACACTGTTAAATTTATATATTAAATCTAACGTTGGTGTTCTGTGCTCGCGCCCGCGCTTAATCGTTTAGAGATCGTCTAATTAGTTAATTACATATTTTCGGAGTATCGCGGTTGACAATAATCAACTGACCGCCTTCGCGTGTCATAAAATAGTCGTAGATTACGAGTAACTATAACTGTTAACTGCCCGGACAGCTCGTAAATTTCTCGAGACTAAGCGACTCCTGCGACGAAAACCAATATCAGCAAGCAAAGCTTTTATCTCTCGATAAAAGAAGACGGTATTTACGAAATGAGGAACTCTAACGCGTTGTCTATACGATGCCTCCCTATAATTTGCGTCACGTCTACCGTTCGCGAATTGGACAGAGGATCGCAGCGATTACAGCCGATCGATCGCGTCGCGATTCGAGGCGAAAAGCGTCCACGATCATCTCTTTTTTTGAATCCCATTGTCTCGCTGGACAAGACAATGTCTATTTCGAGAAGTCGTAAAGAGCAACTTTTCAGAGTCGAAGAGATTCTCGCGGATCCTTCTCGACGGATTCTCGTAAGTACAATACATTACGCCTTTGCTTATCTAATTTGGCATCGAAACGGATTTTTTTCACACATTTCTAACGAGGGAGAAGTAACACACATCCACTTTATACATATGTATGAACATTAAACCCGATTCGGTCACAGCTATAACGAGGGAACGTCGTCTGTCTTGTCGAGTGGTAAGAGTTTCTCTCTCTTTGTCTCCTGGAGAATATTAGATAAGCGAAGGCGCAGTACAGGGTATACCAGGCGTATACAGGGTGTCCCAGACTTAACGAATCAGCCGTCAATGGTAGATTCCTGAGATCATTTGCGGACGAAAATTCTAATATCAAAATGTTGAGGAAGACTTCACAAAAATGTCCAAACTACTGACTAGTGTCCTATTTTTCCTATTTTTTATCCATCCTATTTTTCATTTTATATTCATCCTTCTATCGATATCGATATTATCGCGCTGTACGCGGGCCCCTTGATGCGCTAGTCCCTGAGTAGGAGAACGAAACGCGCTGATTGGTAATCTTGAATCTTGTATAGCGCCGAAACTACATCTTCCTCAACATTTTGGTATTAAGATTTTCGTTTCCAAATGACCTCAGGAATCTACCATCAACGGATGATCCGTTAAGTCTGGGACACCCTGTATACACGGATGGCATAAAATATGTGTCCATGGAGCGCGGCGAAGGGAGGTGATTCTCTGAATCTTGGGAACGGACGCTCGTAGGACGTTTCTCGTGGACTTTGTTCGATTATTCCGTCCGATGTAACGAACCGACGGGCAGGTATTCAGGTGGCGGTGCCGTACGAAGGCCTCTGAACTCCCGTGGTCGCGATCGACATGGTGTACCCGGCGTAGAGCGGCCTCGGGACGAGGAGCGAGGACTTTTTCGCGATCGACTCGTCGGACAGCCTCGAGCTGGCCATCTCCTCGTCGCCGACACCGGCATTAACGCCCATGCCACCACCGCCATCGCCGTTGCTCTCGTTGTTATCATCGGGCGCGATAATGTTCTCGATGGTGAAGGGTTTCTTCACCCTCTTCTCGGGATTGGACGTGGTCAGAAGGACCGTGGCCGCGACCGGGTCCTCGCGACCGGAGGGCAATTGGGTGCGCTCGACCTCCACCACCAGACTCGAGATGGGCGACAGGTGGCGATACGACGACGACGACTTGGACGCGTGCGACGTCGGCGAGATCGGCGACGTCGGCGGCGGCGAGGCGGCGACGGGCACGACGATACTCCGGTAGAGATTCATCCTGGACGACGAGGACGAGGACGAGGGCGACGAAAGCGGCTCCTCCTCGAGTTTGTCGCGATTGTAGCCGGTGATCTCGTAAGCGCTCTCCCCCGGGAAGACCGTCTCGTTGTCCCTGGCGACGATCACCGGCCCGTTCTCCAGCGGACGGTCGCCCCGGCGCTCGTCCCGGATCTCCCGCGTCACCGGATGAATAGTCTGCGACCTGTTGACGGTGGTCTGTTGCAGATAGGGCAGCTGCGACACCGCGTACGACGGCGAGACTGTCGGGAAGCCGGGGAAGTTCCAGGAAGCGGCGGAGTGCAGCAACGCGGCCGCCTCGTAAGTCCTGAGGATCTCGTTGCCGCCGTCGGTGCCGCCCGTCAGTCTCTGCCTGACCTCGGGTGACAGCAAGTAGTAGCCGGCGGTGACGGCTTCCGGGGCGGCCGGTCCGGTCGGCAGACCGGACGTGCCGTCGAAGCGGCCGAAGCTGGCCGCGCCGGCGAAGTCGCTGTGATTGGCGACCATCATCCGCCTCTCCTGCATCTCCCAGCGGAGAAGGTCGTCCCGCAGACGATGGAGGTTCGCCAGGCTGAGACCGTTGCCCGAGCAGGTCGCGCCGGTGTCCCCGACGCCGATCCCGCCGGTGCTCGCGACCGGTTCCGGCTGCGGCTGCGGCTGCGGCGGCGGCGGAGGTGGAGGCGGCAACGGCGGCGGCATCGCCGAGGCGAGGGCCTGTAGCTCGGACTTGAGCAGCTCTTTGTCCGGCTTGTGCAGCTTGAATCGTTTCCGTCGGCGGAGGAGCGAGCCGTTCTCGAACATGGACAATGCGGCGGGATGCAGCGCCCAGTAGGCTCCCTTTCCCGGCCGATGCGGACCGCGCGGCACCTGAAATCCGGTCATTCGGTTTATCACGTCAGCGCCGGCTTATCACTCGCCGGGTGAGATTCCGTTCTGGGTCTGGGAGAAGAGAACGACAGCGTCGTTTGCGTCATATATACGTCTTTTAATCGCTGTACCTCGTGGCCAAAGTATTCCCTGTGACAAACTTTTCAAGAGTAATACGTGTACCGTTTCGGAAATATGCGCTTTCATGCTCATTAATTTGATAATTCCAGACTGGCATACTACTCTTCTACTATCGCGTGAAGGAAACTAATTTAGAAATAATTCTCTTGAATTTTTTGTGTACACTGAGAAAAAAATCTGGTCGCATTAATTAGAATTCTGGATTCTAGATTCAACCAGTATGTCTGTTGGAAAATGGACGAACTAGAATTCTTGTAAGAATTATCAGATAAATCTGATTAATTCCTTTTCTTCCTGTTAAATTTATCTGTCAAATTTTTCGGTTAATAATACTAAATTCACCAGCACCAAGTCGTCTAAAATTTTTTTCATCTAATCTCAAAAAGTCTGTTTAATATTCTGAATTCCAACACGATTATTGCATCTAGATTATTGAATAAATTATTTTAAGTTTAGTTTGTTAGAAGTTAAACTGATAAACAATGACGCAAGAAGAGGATGCAGCTCAAACACACACAATCAGAGAGCTAGCGTCCTCTTTCTGGCACTACTGCTCGTAAGAGAAAAAAAATATACTTTGGATTTAATGTTAATACTACACTGAGAAAAAAATCTGGTTGCATTAATTAGAATTCTGGTAAATTCAACCAGTTTGTCTGTTGAAAAATGGACGAATCAGAATTCTTGTAGGAATTATCAAATGATTATCAATCTGATTAATTTCTTCCTGTTAAATTTACCAAATTTTATGGTTAATAATACTAAACTCGTCAGCATCAAGTCGTCTAAAATTTTTTCTATCTAATCTCAAAAGTCTATTAATATTCTGAATTCGAACACGATTATTGCATAAATTCAATCCAGATTATTGAATAAATTATTTTAAGTTCAGTTTGTTAGAAATTAAACTGATAAACAGTGATGCAAGAAGAGGATGCAGTTGTAACACACATAATCAGAAAGCTAGCGTCCTCTTTCTGGCACTACTGCTCGTAAGAGAAAAAGAAATACTTTAAATTTAATGTTAATACTACACTGAGAAAAAAATCTGGTTGCATTAATTAGAATTTTTTAGATTCAACCAGTACGTCTGTTGGAAAATGGACGAATCAGAATTCTTGTAGGAATTACCAGATGAATCTGATTAATTTCTTCCTGTTAAATTTATCCAAATTTTCTGGTTAATAATACTAAACTCACCAGCATCAAATCGTCTAAAATTTTTTCCATCTAATCTCAAAAGTCTGTTTAATATTCTGAATTCAAACACGATTATTGCATAAATTCAATCCAGATTATTGAATAAATTATTTTAAGTTCAGTTTGTTAGAAATTAAACTGATAAACAGTAATGCAAGAAGAGGATGCAGCTCAAACACACATAATCAGAGAGCCAGCGTTCTCTTTCTGGCACTACTGCTCGTAAGAGAAAAAAAGTATACTTTGGATTTAATGTTGATACTAGTTTTTTATATACATTTCATGGCAAATATTGAATATGAGTTAAGTTAAGAATGGCTTGCTGCCTAGTGGCAAGCAAAGAAATTAATGTAACAAGAAATTTTATAGATCCAACAGAAAATACTAATCAAATCCTTATAGTAAAATCTATTAAACGTTCTTATTTAATTATAAAAAATCGAGTCTTATCATGATAAGTAGAAATTCTTGTTTGATTTAACCAAAATGCCTTCAATCATATACGTTTTGTTGGTAAGATCAAACGATTTTTCTCAGTGTACAATAAATGTAAATAATCCCGAAATTACGCGTCTCGAATGAGTTACTTGGAATCGAAAAGCGAAATTAATATCATGTATACTGACATTCACAAAGATCTATTTAATTTTGAATCGCTTAAGAGACGCTTTACACGATGACAAAATTTATATCAGCAACTTTGTTTGTGCAAGAAGCTTGTCAAAATTTAGCACTGTATGAACAGTCGAATGGCAGCTCGATCAGCACGCGATGGCGAATAACGTGATAATAAAACAAATTACATGGATTTCGCATTGAGTCGTTATCAATTTTGAGTCAAACATTTATTTGTGACGGGCTGCTGCTTCCAAATCTTATTCTAAGCTTCTGATAAGAAATTACAGTCGCGTCAAAAGAGCTTCAGGATTCGATGCAAATTCGAAATTGCATCTGTTGAGACCTCGCTTTAATAAACCAACTGTCACAAATGTCTTTACTTCCGTAAGTAAGCGCATTTCACACTTAAAATATATATATATATATATATATATATATATATATATATATATATATTTACATTTAATATTCATGGATCATAACTTAAAAGCGTGTCTGACAGTTTGACAGCTGTTTATACGAAAGATTAAATACAAGATATAAGATAAGAAAAGAGAGGGGGAAACAGAGATTATATAATATTCAATTGAACAATATGAAAAAAAGTTTTTAACTCTTTGAGGGAGAAGTAAACAGTGTACAAGTATCAAATACGATATAAAATAAAATCAATCCTTATTTGCATTTAATAATCATTATTCATTATAATATAATAATAATTGCTTAAAATTAAAATAATTTAATAGGAACAGAAGTCACATCCTCAAAACTCGAAATTAGGCGCTATTTCGAAAATCCACACGTTTGTGGGAGTCGCGCCTTAATTGATATCTCTGATGAGCGATCGGGAACGCTATCGGTGGGAACAATGTTTGAGGCAATTACGCGAATCTCGTAAGGCACGATCGCTCATGTTACACACCCGGGCTCACCTATAGCCCGTGTTTTTCCCCTTCATCCCTACGGAAAGGCGCCTAGTGCGCGTCGTCCACCGCGATAGCCGATATAAAGGCGCAGGCCTTAGCGGCGATTGATGAGCTGTAGAGAGCCGGGGGTTCATTACTTGGCCAGGAACGAACAGGTTTTACATTTAATAACGCGAAACGATTATCTGCCGATCGGCCGAGTTAATTCGATCGGAAAGGCATAACCTGTTGCCCGGACAGATCTCGCGCGCGCAGAGGGAAATATATTGCCGTCGCTATTATTAGTACCACGCCTCGACAAGAGGTCGAGACGCGAGATCGGCGTTCGCATCTTTTGCGCCACTTTTCTTTCTAGTTAACTATGGCAAGCCTCGATCTCGAGCATTTGCGCGGGAGACTGCGAAGGAGATACGTGCGAATGCTGGAGCAAATTCGAGCGATTTTTATTCAATATCGTGGCATCGAGACAATAAATTTCCTGCATTTATCGAAAGCATGTCGCTGTACTCTTGAAAAAAAAGCAAAGTTGCAAGAGATTTAAATTGTTTAAATATTACTCCTTTTACTCTGTGTATTAGGCTCGATTACGCAATTGTATTCACGTTTTCCGATTATTGATGTCGATTTTTAGCATTATCACAAAAAATATGAATTTTGTTTACAAAGGGTCGTGAGAATAAATCATAATAAATTATAATAAATCATAATAAATCATAATAAATCATAATAAAATAATAATAAATAAAGGCTTAAATCCCGACGTGAATGTTAAAACGTTAAGTTACAAAAGTGCAAAAATGTCAAAAGCATAAATAATATAAAAGTTTTAGCATTATGTTTATAGCTAATGCATTATAAATTTTATAGACTTACATCTTTTATAAATAAAATATTTTAAAATAGTAACGATTAATAGATATGATATAATGTCATTATGATCACTAAAAAACAATCATAAATCTCTAGCGGAATATGTCTTATCTTAAAATGTGAATATTTTTAATTTACTGTTTTGAAGAAGTCAGTAAGATATACAGATGTCAAAATTTATATAATTATTAGACCCGTATTTTATTGATATTTAAAATGAAATTGATTGTTTTCATCTTCAATTACAATTTGATGAAATTATTTTTTTTATATATGAATTAATTGATTATTTTTTAGTAGATGTTTCCATTTCGAAAATTTGACTTGATGTTTTTTATTGTAACTTTCGCGACATTCAAATTTAATTTAAATAGTCTTACTCTAAGTAAAGTCGATGTGATTTTAAATAAAAAATATAATCTTATGAGTCTCTACGAGGAGATATTTGCAAGACAATTGTCAGATTGTAAAATCGTTAAAGAAATTAATTTCAAATTAAGATTGAAGAATTGTGGAAAAAAAATAAATAAATGCACCATAATCTATTATAATCTATTATAATATGTGTGCATTTATGCGAATAATTTCATTAGTTTCATTCGTTTATACGATCGATACCTCTCTCTTCCGGAATAAAATTTCTCGAAAATTTCTCGCAAAGACATTATTACTTTCCGTTTATGGTTTTACGCTTTCTAGCGACGATAATTATTATTTGTTAGAAATAGGGCCATATACACGGTAAAATTTATCCAATCTACGAAAACAAAATTATTTTATATGCTTTGATAAAAATACTTTGCGTGTTTTATTTTAAGATTGTTTGGTTCAAATTGATTAATTTGAACCAAACAAGTTTGAGTTTAAAAGTGTAAATAAGAATAATTGTTGAGAAAATATGGATGTACGTGTAAATGTATATCTATGTAAATAGATACAGAAAAAGCAATGTTTTCTTTTCTCTCGAGATAATCTATTTACATAGATTATTTCAAGAGAAAAGAAAACATTGTTTTTTTTTGTATCTACTTACATAGATTCTCTTGAAATAATCTATGTAAATAGATTATTTCAAGAGAAAAGAAAACATTGTTTTTTTGTATCTATTTACATAGATTATCTTGGAAAAAGAAAACATTGTTGTCTGTGCAATGTGATTTTTCGATTCTATGAAAACTAATAATAAAATATAAAACTATAAAGTTAATTTTATTTATATATATTATTTTAAATATATATATTATAATTTGCATAAGCTTTTAATAAAAGTAATCTAAATTAAAAGTTCTACAGTTTGAAAATACTCGAAAAAGACAATTTTAATCGTATCTGATGCATTCTAAACTTTTACATACATAAATAAAAGCTAATGTTCGTTAAGTAAATCAATTTCAGAAACGCAATTGCCTGAACTTTTCATATAGTTTTTATTAAATTCTAATATGTGTATTAAATTTTATATTTAAAATAATATACATCTTTTTTTGAGCTCAATATACATAATAATAAAAATAATACATAATAATAAAAATATTATATAAATAATAAAACCTTTGTTAAAACATAATAGTGTTAAAATTAATTAAAATAAATTCGAAATTATAATAGAAATAAAAATGAATTAAAAATTATAAATTTATCGCTTGTTATTCACAAACAATATTTTGGAGCAATTTTTGCATTCTAAATTCTCAACAATTAATTATATTATGTTTGTAATAAATATATGTCTGTAATAAAAATATTCTTAAATCAGTGAACATGTGCAATGTGCATATGAAACAAATATATGAATCATAAACTTATTATTTACTATATTATAATGAGACAGCAAGTGTAATATAAAGGTTTGAAATATTATTGTTACGATTATAATTATCGCGTTTCTTAATATTCGATTATTTTCCACATGATTTTCATATATCAAATTATGTGGGAGCTTTATTTCAAGAATTCTGACTTCAAAAATCTGGCACTAGATTGCAATTTAAAGATTTAAAGTACATTGTTTCATAGTAAAGTGTTTCAAAAAGTGTTTAAAAAGTCGCAAATCGAAATGTTAATGTTTCTGATCAAATTCATTTGCGGTCTTTGAGATTGAATGATATATCAAATTATGTGGGAGCTTTATTTCAAGAATTCTGGCTTCAAAAATCTGGCACTAGATTGCAATTTAAAGATTTAAAGTACATTGTTTCATAGTAAAGTGTTTCAAAAAGTGTTTAAAAAGTCGCAAATCGAAATGTTAATGTCTCTGATCAAATTCATTCGCGGTCTTTGAGAGTGAATGATTTTTGCATTATATGACGCGGCGCGAAATGTGTTTGAGGAACTGTTTTACTTTTTTTAGGAGGCCTCTCTTCACCCCTCCCCCCCGAGAATCGGGCGACAGGCGACGAAAGAACCGGCATTCTTTCGTATAATTTTGAGGAACCGCGTGTAAAACGCGCCATGACGGTGATCGCGCGGTCGCACACGTTGGCAGGTGCGAAACAGATGGCCCGATAATACAACAACCAGACACCTTGCGCGTTGCGTCGTCGCTCCCGGACGGACCCGGACATTCGCGTTGAAAAGACAACATCGCGTCAGTCATAAAAGGTAAGATCCGTTCTCTGTGCTCCATTCGTCATGCTATTCGCCATGTCTTGACGACGCTCTTGGTCGCGACCGCGATTCGCTAGGTGTTACTTTGACAATATTTCAATTGACGTTCAGCGGTTTGCCGTTTTTATTGCAGGCGCAGACGAAGAGGGAATTAATTCTTCTTCATCGAGATGGCGATCATTGTTTCTCTTCATCTACAAGCGAGTTTTCTAAATATGCTTTTATAAAAAATTAAATTAAATTAAATTAAATTAAGTTAAGTTAAATAATAAGCTTATTCAAGAGCGTGTTTAGTAAAAAAACATTTTGCAGCAATCTGGTATTATCGAATCGACGAGTATTATCGGAGAAGCTTGATCTCCGGACCAACATCGATCGAAACGAATCGAAACGGACATGGATGATTACGGATGGACTAACCTTGATGAAGCAATCGTTGAAGGACAAATTGTGCCTCAAAGAGTTCTGCCATCGTCGCGTGTCCTTTCTGTAGTACGGGAAGCGGTCGGCGATGAACTTGTAAATCTCGGCGAGCGGCAGCATCTTGTCCCTCGACGACCATATCGCCATCGCCGTCAACGATATGTAGGAGTAGGGCGGTTTCTGGTCACCGTAGGTATCGCGCGAGGGTCGCGGCATCATCGACGTCGGGCTCGACGCGATTCCAAAGAGTCAAATTAGCGTCCACGTGAATACCCGCTCGTCTGGAAGAAACGTCAACGCGACGTCCTCACACGTTGCTCGACACTTCCCGGGATCTTTGCCGATACTCGCGCGCCAGCATCCTCCGGACCGCGAACTGGCGGTGGGAGCACCGGAACAGCTGCTCTTCGGGGACGAGGATCTCCATCGGACCCGACCTCGGGCCGTGGCCCGCGCTGTTGCCGCGCACGTAAATCACAGAATATCACAACAATCCGGACGACGATTTAGGACTTGAACACTGTTCGGGTTCCGACAAACCCTCGTTGCGCTATTCCGCAATTCGGGGAAGAGACCCCCCGAGAGCGCACGCCCAGGCACGCCGAGTACCCGTGATCGCGTCTCCGCGGATACTGCGGCCGATCTATACCCACACCCCCGCAACGGGCTTCCCCTACCCGCGACCTCCCGGATTGGAGGCAGTCGCGGATCGCGTTTTCGTCCGGTTCTCGCTCCCAGTTCGTGCGACCACCTCCGTCCAATGGCGCGGTGGCTCTCCCACCTTCCCGAGGGAGGTTTCCGCGACGCGAATAGGGCGTCGTCTATCCATTCGAGCGGATATCGAGGGCGGGTTCTCTCGCAACGCCGCTGCTTCAGATCACCTCCCTCGAACGAACGGGAAGAGCCAGTGCGTCGGCCAATCCGGTCGAGTGTCGCGATCGACCTCGCGCGCGCGTCCACCGCGACACCGTGTATGCACCGCCGAAGTACGGCACCGGGTACATTACTACTCCCCAGAGGGTAGGACGAAGAGAGAAGGCCCTGTCTTCCGCGCGTCGCGCATCGATCCGCCAGCATACTTTCGTTCCGAGGATTGAAAGCGGTGCAATTTCGCGCTGAGTCCAATTCTCTCGTATTGAGACGGCGTCTGGACCTGTTTGCAGAACTAGAGTAAAGTTTTTTCTCATTTAGTTTGTACGAGATCAATTGTCGTTTTTTAATTTCCATTTCATGATATATCCCAATTCATATAGATATTCCTTTACTACATTTATCTTATTATTATTATTTATTTCTTCTTCTTCTTCTTATTATTATTATTTATTTTTTCTTATTATTATTATTCTTTTATTATTATTATTTATTTTTTATTATCATTTGTTTATTTTATCAATCTTTTCTGAAGAACGACAATTAATTTCACAAATACACAGTAAAAAATTTTGTGTTAAATTTAACATATTTCACATATGTCCCAATTTATCCACTCTAATTTTAATGTTAATTTAACAGAAGGCAAGTATGTAAATAAATAACACAAGTAATATGTTTAAAAATTAACACAAAAGTGTAACACTTAAACTTTATCTGGAAATAAAGTTTATGTTAAATTAACATATTTATAATGTTAAATTTAATTAAAAGAAAATATTATTCTTACATTTTTATGATAAATAACAGAAGAGATATGTCGATTTAACATATGGAAACTGTTATAGAGAGAAAAATAACACAACTTATCTGTTCATTTTAACATATAACATATTTCATCAAAAATTCGTGCATTTACATATTAATTGTGTTGTTTTAACTCTTAGAAACGGTGAATATTAACTCAACGCAGAAATGTCAAAATAACGCAATGATAATATGTTACATTAACATAAGAGTATATTAAAAATTTAACACAAAAATTTTTACACGAGAAAATTTTAACAGAAATACAAAATGTTTTTTACCGTGTATATGTATAATATATATATTTTATTTCTTTAACAAAATATGTTACTATCTCTATTTTGTATTTTCGTAACGACAATGTTGCTGTCATTACGTTCATAAATATAAGATAACGATGGCGACATTTAAAGTTACATAGTGAACATTAGTTTCGAAATAACTCGAGATTTACTGAGCAAGAGATAATAAAACTAAGCGAACAAGAAGACTATTATCGCGCGGTTGAACCATCAAATCTGGCTGCTAAAATCATATTGGTCTCAACCCTGTCTCGGTGAACCATGCGAATATCAGCACAACCATTTTTTAGTATTATTAGCGATATTGTTGTATTGTTTATCGGAAGAACATGAGAATCTTTTTTTCCTAGTTAATATGATTAAAGCTAATCTTGATCGACAACCGGCGATGAACCTAAAGGTGAAGCAGAAGGGGTGGGAGAAGATAAACACCAATCGGAGTAAAGCGTCTTCCTCACCCGTACTTTGTTGGCAAGAGGCGTGTCGCTACGCCTCGTGCTTCACCGACAAAATGGCAATTCTCGTTGTTCATATAATGTATACTAAGCTTCACATTCATGAACAAGTCAGCCAGAGGCATTTTCGAAAGGTACGCATCACATCTAAACGAAAAGATTCGTAATAATTACAATAAAACACTCGCAATATATAATTGGGGTGACTCTCTAGCGTTTAACTTGTCATAATTCAAGTATTTTAAATAAGATAAGAAGTACATATTTATTCTGTATGAAACAAATTTACAAGATTTTTGTTTCCTATAATAAATTTAGAATTAAAAGTAAAGTTTTCTTTAATCGGCTTATTTATTTCGACAGAATTTCGATAGATTTATAAGGATATGTAGCACATGTAAAAATTGGAAAATGCAATAATTTCTTTTGGAAACATCTACTTAACATTGCTTAAATCTGTATAATTAAAATATTAAATTTTAGGAAGGATACACCTCATATGTATAATATATATTCTTTTTATTATTTATTATTTTTATTATTTTATTATTATTATTTTCTCTAAATTCTATGTTTCTATGTTTCTTTTTTTATGTCGCGGGAGAACTTTGTTAACTCTATATATAATATATTGATATCCGTATTACTATATTAGATGTGATTTCTTACTCCATCATGGCATGAAAATTGAGGTCATTTTTGTGCAATATTGTGAGCAATTATATTATATCAAAATAAAATGTCCACATTTTTTTTAAATACCATTAATCAGATTAGAAAAATCTGACTTAGAAAACGGCGAAAAGAATCTGTGTAAAAATATACCGGAGATATACCGGATTCGGTGAATAATAAGGAAAATGAATGTTAATAAAGCAGGCAGATAAAAATCAACTCCTTTTTATTAGAGTTTTTGTTTCGCGTTGTAGTCGATCGTTATACAAAAAAAATAAACTTTGCATAGAATATAATACCAGTATTAATGCAAGAATTGCAGGTACAATTGATGAGGAAATCGTGAGATCGTGTCGACTAGAGCAATTAAGATTTAGTTGAACGAACGAAAAAAAACATGGCAAGGAACAGTCAACAAGTATGTTAATTGATTAATTTAAGACAGTTTTTTCTCTTTATATGTATTATAAATAATATTTATATTTATATAATAAATAATATTTACAATCAAAACTCTTGAATCTCTATAAGACTATCAATATGGTGCATCCAAAAATGCATAATTTTTCAAAGAAAGCAAATTGCAATTTTTTAAATTTGTTTACCACCAAATCAATTACTGGAAAAATATAGTAAAATTTTTCAAATTGTAGAATAAGGTTTAGCTGAACATATCTGAGCATGTTTTTGAGGATGTTAGGATAGTCATATACATAAAACTCGAAAGATGTTTTGTAAAAAATCTATAATTGTGTATTTCTAACGAAAAAGTGAAAGAAATAACGAGAGTACGTCGAATATATAATCATGCATCGAGCCGTGACGGTTTAAGACCTAAACGATCGATTATATATTCTGGCATGCAGTATGTAGGATTAATTGGTTTTAACGAGAAATTTTTGTCCAATAGTGACAACGCAGTTAGGCCGAACAAAGTATGAAAAGGATCAACCATATCTCCAGGTCGATCGCTGAAACCACCAGACTCAACATCCTGACAAGTCAAAATGTAATCGATCTGTAATGAAAAATAGAAAAATACAGCTGTATTAGCTAATTAAATAATTGATACTGATTTATAATCGCTTGTTTTATATCATTATTTGACTAACAGAGGCATCACAATAATGAATAAAATCATAAAAGAAATGTCTGATTTAAATGATATGAATTGATTGAAAAGTATTTGTAATTTCTTTAAACGTTATTCAGGGATATTTAGTTACCAAGGCTTTTTTATCTATCCAATGAAGACGACCTAGGATTGTCAGTGCCGATAACACCCACCAAGAATAGCACACATCTGGCAACTTTTCAGGTCTGCCATTTAAACCACCAGAAGGTAATTGTCTCTCGCATAACCACCATCCTAAACGATCAGCATCTATCAGATGCAAATGTCCTGGAAAATATTTTAATAAGTCAATATTTTATATTTTCTATACAATATAGTCATATGTTATATATACCTGTTATTGAGAGTAATCCTGTACAACAATAAATTAAACCTGCGTGACTCTCGGATCCTGGCTTTGAACCGAATCCTCCATCAAAATTCATACACTTCAATACAAATTGTACTGCTTTCTCAACGTCTATCGCGTCTAAGCGATTCTGAAATATGTTGATAACAATAAAGGATTTCTTTTAATTTTTTCTATGAGTACCTTTTGATTTTTAAACAAAATTCAAAAATTTATTTTTTCTAAGATTTAATATAATGCTAATGTGACAATTGTCCTTAAAACTATTAGAGTCTATGGATTCTCAAAAAAGTAATATTTCTGTAGAATATCTATTTTATCTCAAGAATTTTCGTTGGAATAATTGAATGTTTCTATTTCAATACATTTTGTTCAAGCACTCAAAGATTATACTATAACAGTGACTATGATATTTACCAAAAGTGACAAAGTGGCAACAGCACAAAACGAAAATCTGACATCCACTTCACCCCACTGATCACCAGCAAAACTTCCATCTGCCTGTTGCCTCTCTTTGACATAATTTACAATTTTATCGACGTTTATTACATTTAATGCGTCGTACATACACAATATTTGAATAGCACTGAGTGTATAAAGTAAATGTGGATCGTGTTGCATACTGGCACTAATACCACCACTATCACTTTGACACTGCTTAATAAATTCTAATACTTCCTCTTTATTGGTTTGCTCTAACTTTCCCATTAAATCTAGAGCAGTAAGACCCCAATACATTCCAGACATCCTCATGTGCTCAGTCTGAGAATAATTCTAAAACATAAGAATATATATTAATCTTGAAAGTACTATAAACGTATGAAATATATTAAGTTCCAACTAAACTCAATATATACAATTTATATAGATTTAAAATATTAAATATATCTTTACAGAATGGTATGAATAAAAATCTGTGAAATTTTATACAATTTATGAGATAACAAAAAAGATTAAAATAGATTCTTACGTATTCATCTTTGTTGGTCCCATACGAAATGAGATAGTTTGCATGCTTCTCCAGTAATAATTCTGGAATATTGCTTGGTAGTTCAATATCGTGCTTCACTGTTGTCTGAATAAAATAATATACAACATCAGTTCAATTGTATTATTGAAATTTGTATTATTTATATTATTTTCTAAATATATTCTATCTTGTGTTTACAACTTTCTTTTAAAGTAACTAAATAGATTAGACTTACCATCCTGTAATTGTAGCGTAATGATTATAAATTATAATAATATAATTGTGATCTCCTAGATACCCATCGCGAATCTGAAATTAAATTCTGAATTAATTTTTCTTTTTTAATTTAAATATATTAATATATATATTTTATTTAAATATATTGATATGTATTTTATTTAAATATATAATTATATATATATATATATTTTTTATTTAAATATATTGGCAAGTTCAAGGTTGGAAAATCAATTGAAGAAGCACATAATCTAAGATAATCGAAGACGAGGACACAAACCGCTCGATAAAAACACACACTTAAAATAATAATGTATTCGATGAGAGCAAATAAATTCCGACTAATATCGAGTTAGCGATGTAATTTACAATTAACGACAGATACCGAATAATAATAATTACAGTAAACACATGATAAATGCCACACACATGCATGGGTGACGTGTTGGCTCTTGAAAAATGTTTGACGAGAAATATATTACCAGCTATATAGGGTGTGTTCAAAAATCTCACCTGGGGATAGAACAATTTAATTGACCAATCAGAATGAAGGGAACGAAGATTCCCTTCTCCTGATTGGTCAATTTAACAATACTTAAGCTGGGGTAAAGTATTGTTTAATTGACCAATCAGAAGAAGGGAATCTTCGTTCCCTTCATTCTGATTGGTCAATTAAATTGTTAACCACTTTTTGAATAGGATTTCTGAACAAACTTTTATTCCTGAACCCCTCTTCGTCTCTCGTAGGTTATGATCAAGTTGACTTAGGTAATGATATATGCACGTTGGAAGGATAATAGGAGATACACCTGTGAAGGATGTCAGGACGTAGGAGGAAGAACAAGAGCAAATTATTGGAGAAGAGACCTCGATATGTTCTCGGCAAGGAGCAGAGGTATCATCAGGAGAGGGATAAAGAGTCGGACAAGGACGACGAGGCAGGTTAGACAGGATGAATTTTGTAGATTTTTTGCACCTCGAGTTAAATATTGAAATATTAATAAATATTTATATTTATTAATATTTATTATTATAATATAATATATAATATAATATTAATTATAATAATAAATATTAATATAATTATATAATATGATATTATAATTAATATTATATTATATTTATTAATATTTATTAATATAATATTATATTTATTAATATTAATAAATATTAATAAATATTGAAATAATCTCCGATTGAATTCGTAGAATCCTCGAATGAATCGCTGATCTCGTTTCCCGTGGCTATGTGGGACATGGAGCACTGCGATCCCAAGAAGTGTTCTGGGAGAAAACTGGTGAGGCATGGCTTGATAAAGATACTGCGATTGGGCGTTCGATTTGCTGGCTTGTGTCTTACTCCGGTTGGAGATAAGGTAGTTAAACTGAGATACGATAACATTACAACATGATTGAGATGCTAACGATGCTTTGGTTGCAGTGCGTATGTCCAACGGATCGTGAAATCATACAGGAGTACGGCTGCGCAGTTGTGGATTGTAGTTGGGCACGCTTAGACGACACTCCCTTCAACAGGATGAAAACATCTCATCCCCGTCTACTGCCATTTCTGGTCGCCGCTAACCCGATAAACTATGGGAAACCCTGTCAATTGAGTTGTGTCGAAGCTATAGCAGCTACTTTGATTATAACAGGATATCCAGAAGAGGCTAATCTTTATCTTGGAAAGTTTTCTTGGGGGCACGCGTTCTTAGAATTGAATAGTGAATTGTTGGAGAAGTATGCTCTTTGCGCAGATAGTAAAGAGATAATTGCTGTACAAGAAAAGTTCCTGGACAAAGCCTGGCAAGAGAAATTGGACAGACTTGGTAAGGATAGACTTACTACCTCTGTATCTCTTGCTATCTAATTTTATTTAATATTCATTATACTTTTATTATAGCACTCCCTGATTTTCCACAAAGTGATACGGAGGAAGAAGAAGCAGAAGAGGGAGAAGAAGAGAAAGACGAGGACGTAGCTTCAAAAATAACAGAAGAACTAGGCAATGTAAAAATATAAAGTACAAGATTGATTAAAGATAATTGACAAAGATAAGTATTGCAAATTTGTACATATATATGAAAAAGGATCCTGTATATGTTTGAAATAATTTATTAAAATATTATTTTTCTATTACACATTTGTGATATTGTGATTAAATTACAACACGATTAACACATATAAAATAATAATGTTTTTGAAATTTGCATACTTGATTATTTTATATATTTAATTTTTTCAATAAATAAGACAATAAATACTGTTATATCTTCGAAAATGATTTTTTTATTTTTTTTAAAATTTAGTTTAAGAATGAAAAAGATTCTCTTTAAGTTTAAATTCCGTATACATGACGCAATTTTACTTGTCATCGAAGGAAAAAAATTGGGATTAAGGATGTTTTGTGTGTACAATCCCAGCAAAAAGTAGCTGAAAATCAATATTGACGAATATCACTTTTGGTATATTTTGAGTAAGAAATTGTATGGAATATCACAATTTGATTTTAGCTACGGTGCAGAGATGTATTTTTAATATTTATTGCGTTTTTACTGAAATATTCCAAATTTTGTTAATCGAAATGATTAACTTTTGACAGAGAATTTCGCCTTATGACAGATACATGGCTAACTCTATTAAATTATATTTAATATCTTTTTAACCAGTTAGTACATGTATAATATTATTTGACTAAATATTTCCTCTGTATCTAAACTTTTGCAAATTTTAAACAAATTCTGAATATTAGTTCCATGTGTTTTTGTCATTTGAATCGACGTGGTTATACGTTTCCTATAAGAACACATGTTAATTCGGTGCAAATTAAAATTCTTATAACTTGTGAATTCTTATAACTTAGTGAATCGATTTAAAAATTGTACTGATGATTCTAAACATATGTAAGGACGTTCTATACAATTTTCATTAAATTCTCAATATTTTGAAGGTACAAAACATCCTTAATAATACCGACAGTATCAATAAAAAATATCGTAACTATATTATTTTTGAACATAAAATGTATAAAATATGTTGCTTAAAAAAAAATGAAATTTAAACTCACAAATATATTTTGACTATAATTTCAAGCTCTCGCAAACTATTTTTGAGAAGAAAAATATATAAATATTATACAAATATTATATAAATATATAAAATATTTATATAAAATATTTATATTATAAAATATTACATAAATGTACAAAACATCCTTAATAAATTCGAATTCCATTTCGTGAAAAAATCCAAGTATCAAAATCGCTAGCGATTGGTGAAAGTCAAAAATAACTAGACGTATGCACCAATCGGATTCATTTTCCGAGGGTCGATCGTCGCGTGAATCTCGAGCACAATCTAGGTCACGTTGATCATTTCGTGCTCGATGATCGACGCATCGCTTTCGAATATCACGGTTGTATTTTTTTTTTTGGCAGAATGTGTTGTGGCATGTAAACGACGTTTTTTCCACGCGAGAGACGGAATTTTTTTCGATGTCGTAAATAAGCACGAGAGGAAAAACAGGGTGATGACGAGGCAGAATTCGACGATAACATTCGTCGAGCTACCTTGATATGAAGCGAGCGATGCTTGACACTCTGACGTGCGCTGGCTCTTTATCTGAAATGTGTCAATCTTATCGCGGTAGGCGCAAGTACCCGATGCCCATTGTGTGGATAAACGTTCTGTCCGCCAATTAAACGCATACTAACGATCGCACACCGCTTATATACGCTACAATACGCTATCTATCTCGCAATCTAACGTCTATCTCCCAGATCCGGAGACTCTCTCAAAAGCTTTGATGTTTGACAGCTCCAGCCACGAATCCGTGGATGCTAACATCGCGTAACTTACTATGCACTTTGAGACCAAGACGTTCAAAAGCATTCGGTATCAAGCATGTATGTACTGCCAGTAATTTGTCTGTGCAAGGTTTTGCGAGAAAACCTACATTCCACGAATAACATGTGTATAACGCTTATTTGATGTTTGATATTTTTTTCTGTTCTTGACAGGAACAAATCTGTGGAGAATTTGTTGATATCTAGTCACGAGGTAATCAACAGCATTAATTCTTCTGGTTTGGGTAATCAGAATTCGGTGACAAATCTGGGAAATGCTGCGTCCGTGGAAAACGTTCAAGAAATCACCAGCGGGTCTGGCAATGATCGTAATAGTCCTGTGTCCAGTCCTAACTTATCCCCACGTCCTAGTCCAAGAGCTCATTCCAGGCGAGAGTATTCTAGATTGAATTCCGACTCGTCTGCTAAAGAGTCCTCTCGTGCGAAATCCGACGATCAGGTGTTTCAGGCATGTATCAATTTTAAAACTATAATTCTCACGTATTCTTAAAATATCTTGAAAAGAGATTGGAGAAATAATTATTTCGTTATGTATATTCGTGCAGGATGTGATCAGTAAATCGTCTGATTCGGCTGAACTCAACAAGAGTTCCTCTCATGAAAGTAAAAAGGAATCGCGCAGTGAGCGGAGTAAGAAAAAATCTTCCTGGTATAATGTACTTTATCCGACTTATAAGTCACGTTCTGAGGATTTTAAGCGAATATTTAAAGATGTGCCTGATGATGAAAGATTGGTGGTAGGTAAGTGCTGTTTAAAACGTGTCGACTTTTATACATATAAAATATACAGGGTGTCCCAAAAGTCCCGGACCGGTCGAATATTTCATAAACTATGCACTTTAGAAATAAATGTTACAGACAAAAGTTGTATGGCTTGAAGGGGGCCATCAGATAGTGGCAATGATTTGACATGGGAGAGTCATTTGAAAGTCACGTGAAGATTACCGTCCATTTCTTAAATGGAACCCCCTATTTTTTATTATATATTCGTGTAGCTTATTTCAAGAGCTTTCCAAAACACTATAATAAAGTATTTCTTCATTGAGTACTTTTCGAGTTATGAGGCTTGAAATCGTTTCTTAATTTTACATAAACTGTAAAATATCTTGTGAAATATTCATTTTTCGATTATCTTACCTTAATAATTTTATGTATAAAATAATGAGAGGAATCTCTTGGTGTAAAGAAAAAATATAGTTGTTTTTAAGAAAAAAATATGTAATTTGCAATTAACAATTACATATTTTTTTTTAAGAAATGATTTCAAGCCTCATAACTCGAAAAGTACTCAATGAAGAAATACTTTATTATAGTGTTTTGGAAAGATCTCGAGATAAGCTACACGAATATGTAATAAAAAATAGGGGATTTCATTTAAGAAATTGGTCGGTGATCTTCACGTGACTTTCAAATGTCAAATCATTGCCACTATCTGATAGCCCCCTTCAAGTCGTACAACTTTTGTCTGAAACATTTCTTTCTAAAGTGCATAGTTTATGAAATATTCGACCGGTCCGGGACTTTTGGGACACCCTGTATAATATATTATTTCATATTTTATTCCTTGTCAGTTAATTCTTAAACTAACTAGTTTACACTTGTTATATCCATACAATTGTAAAATGACATTCTATGATTTTATTAATTTAACAATATAATTTTTAGATTATTCTTGTGCTCTTCAGCGTGAGATATTGGTACACGGTAGACTTTATGTGTCTCAAAATTATGTGTGTTTCTATGCTAATATATTTATGTGGGAGACATTGGTCTCCTTACGTTGGAAAGATGTTACATCTATTACCAAAGAGAAAACTGCACTTGTCATTCCAAATGCTATCCTGATTTGCACTGTTACTGACAAGTTCTTCCTAACATCGTTTGGAGCAAGAGATAAAACATATGTAATGTTATTTCGTGTTTGGCAAAATGCTCTTATTGGTGAGGTATGCATACATTGTATACAATTAAGTTTTTTTATTATAATTTTGAAAAATATAATAAAATAGATATAATATAATAAAATAAATATAATAAAATAATAATATGATAAAATAATAATATAATAAAATAATAATATAATAAAATAATAATATAATAATATAATATATAATAACTAATAATATAATAAAAATTCATAATATAATAAAATAAATATAATAAAATATAATAAAATAGATATAAAAATAGATAAAATATAATATTTTGAGATATATTTATATTTATATTTGCAAATAAAGATGTCTTTCAAGAAATTTAGTGTGTTGAAGAAATTTGTTACTGGACTTTTTCTTCTATAAATATTTCTTTACAAAAAATTGAAGTATAGATATTTTACAAATAGATTTATTCTAATACTTCAAAAAATGTATCTTTGTAATGTATAGTCTTCTAATAAAATATTTTATTTTATTTTTAGCCAATGAGTATGGCTGAAATGTGGCAACTTGTACATGCTTGTTATGGGGATGAATTAGGCTTGACTTCCGATGACGAGGATTATGTACCGCCATTATCTGCGGCAGAGGAAGAGAAATTACCAACTCGTCTTTCTGTAGATTCTTTTTCCGAGGTAAGCAATATTTTCTTTTATAAGACCTGAAACATAATATCATTATATTATTATTGCATTGATTGAGAAAATAACAGTATGATGAAAATATATATAATGATGAAATATATGATATATATAATAAAAATATATATAATAATGAAAATATATATAATAATGAAAATAATAGTAATTTGTTGAAAAGATCAATCAGTAACAAACCAATCTATTAAATTAAATAATATATTAAATTAAAAAGATGAAAATTTTTTGTGTTTTTATTAAATTGTTTTTTATTTAAAAAACAATTTAATAAAAACAAAATTTTCGTCCCTTTTTTTCTTCTGAAATTAAAAAAATGAGATATATTGAATACATATATTATATATATATATATATATATATATATATATATATATATATATATTAAAATCTCAATGATTACTTTCAATTCTTCTAAGATCAACAAAAATTATTCTTAATTTATTTTTAATTGCTAACAATTATGATAAATATTTTAATTTACTATCCATGACTTTTCAGATTTTTTTATCGAGTATTTCTATCATAAATTTGATATTCTATTCATTGGAATCTTAACTCGGTTCCTCTTTTGTATTTCAATGAAAAATTTCCAAATCAAATCAGCTTTGGCTTCTCTCAGAATTCATAGATAGCATCGCCATATCTGGTTTCTTAGTAAAACTTGTAAACAGTATCTATTGAAATCAGCTTCTGGCGAAATTTTGTTACAGACGCGTGTGCAGTGATAGCTAAATGTATTTCGATTTGTAATTAATTCTACGTTTCAAAAGATTAATAAACTTAATGAATTAATAAAAATAAAAAATGAATAATTCCATATGATAATTGCTGAAAAATATATATATAAATTAAAATTAGCTATTTAATATATTATTTTATTTTTCTTTAATTGAAACAAAGGCTGAGGTAGCTACTGTGGAAAGTTCAGCACCTCCAGCTGTGGAACTTGCTCCTGTGGAACAGCCTCCTGCTGAACCTCAAGTTCAGCAACCAGCTGTGCCTATACCTAAACCAGACCCTGTTGCTGATCCAACAGATTTGAGTGACACAACAGAAAGCGAGGCCGAGAAACATGGCTGTAAGTATTTCCAGATAGATTCTGTTAAAATTTTTATTTTATCAGAACTTTCTTTTAAAAAACAATCTATAAATTCTTAATAAAAATATCACAATTATTAAAAATATATAAATATAAAATTTTTAAAATTTTTATATCCTTATATATCCTTAATACAAATATAAATTGTTATTTTAATATTTTCAAATATAATAAATTCTCTATCTAATCTAAGCTAAAAGAGAAAAAAAGTCTGATATTTTTAATGATGTATTTAAAATAAGCTGCTATATATATGTTGCAGCATTATTTTAATATATTTATTAGCTGTGTATAATATAGTCATGATAATGTCTGTTTCAGTGAAAATGAACATACGGAGCACTATGGTCTGCACTTCTTTGCACGAAGGTCGGCAAATTAACAAAACGACATTACCTATGCACATCGACCAACTATTTACTCTGCTTTTCACAAATTCGAAATTTTTCCTAGATTTTCATACTGCTCGCAAGACCACTGGTAACAAAATAATTCCGTTATTACTATCATACGTAGTATCATAAAATGCATGTGTCTTAGGCATGTTAGTATATTTAAAAAATTTGTGTTTCTAAATCATTTTAAATAATTATCTTTTGTATATAAATTTGTGTAAAGATATATGTGTGTATGTGTGTGTGACATACAATTCCTATTTTTTAAAAATATAGATTCGAAATGATTTGGAAATATAAATTGTTTCATTTATAATTATATATTTGCTAACATTTTTGTGTAACATGTATGTAATTGTATCTCTCAGAAACTATAAATTTATTTCTAATCATGCTTCTCTAACATCTTCATTTATGTAGATTTAATACAATCTGCATGGATGATAAATAATCAAACTGGTCAAAAAATGAGAACTCTTTCATTCACGGTAGCTTTGACTCAAGCTATTGGTCCAAGAACTTGCCAAGTTACAGAAACACAGGTAAAAAAAATTTTATCTTATCAACTTATAATAAATGCATTATGTTTCTTTTCTCTTGTAAATTCAAAGTTAGGTTTTTTATATTTTTTATATTTTACAGGTGATGTTACCATGCAGTAGACCAGGTCATCTTTATTGTATAGATGTGGAAACTACTAATGCTGGTATTCCTTATGCCGATTCCTTTAGCATTTTAACGCATTATTGTATAAATAATATTTCGGAAATTGAGACAAGTATTGCAGTTTTTTCGCAAATTAAATATAAAAAGAGTATATGGGGTATTATGAAGAGTAAGTTCAAAAAATTAAAGACTAAAAATTGTAGTTTGATAAAAAAGTATTGCAACTCGAAAAAAATCTTTAGAAAACTGTAATAAGTCAAATCAAATACATAAATTAGATTTGTGGATTTATACTTATTTTTATAGATATAAAATTGCTATAGAATGCAAAATATGACAAATGTACACAGATAGAATACAATTAGTTTACTAATGTACTCAATCATTTATTGATATAAGTATTAATTTTTAATTGAGCTTTTTCTTCTAAAAATTCCATATTTTTTGAGTTACGATACTTTTTTTTCCAAGATATAATATTCTAATAAATGGATATTGTTTCCAAAAAAAAAACTAGGTGTGATTGAAAAGAATTGTTGGGCAGGCTTAGAAGAATATTTCAATAGTTTAGTAAAAGCATTGGCAGTAGAGTGCGAAGAAAGTAGCGGAAGTGGAGGTTTAAAGAGAAAGACGAGAAAACGACGGCGTGCGACAGGTGTAGGTGCTACATTGCAGACACATGTTACTGAGCATATATCTGTGAATCATCAAATTTCGCCCTCCAACTTGCCACACACTCATAGTAATATATAATCCAATATTTTCTACAATATATACTTCCTTTATAAACATTATGTTAAATTATTTAACAATATTTTTTTTCCATAGTAGCTGCTAATACTAGAAGCGACACCAACATGATTCTCAGTTCAATGCTACTAGTGGCTGTATTGTGTTTAATGGTAATCAATGGCTTGTTGTATTATAAATTATGGGGATTGGAAGAAGCCGCTGCATATACCATTATGGATTTACATGTATTGAAGTATGTATTATCGATTTCTTTTGTAAAATATATATTTTAATATTTTATTTTTTTATATCCACGTTTTCTTCTGCTTTCAGAAATACACCAAAGACTGAAGAGGATTGGATTAACCTTTTGCAACAGCAAGAAAGTTTACACAATGTAGAAATGAGGAAATGGCAGAGGGTTTTGCACACTGCTGCACAATTACTTAGACAAGTAAGTCTCAGATAAGATTAAAAAGCTAAAATATAGATAATAATAGATAACTAATAATAGATAAGCAATAACAATTTAATTTTACAATATAAACATATATTGAATGAAGAAAAATTCAAGACTCATAAAAATTCTGAAGCAATTCATTAATTGAATATCATTTATGAGATAAAAGTATTTCTTTATATGAATCTATTAATATTTTTATAAAAATCTGTCTTCTTGATAACATATCTCTTTATCTTATTCTTATCTTATTCTTTTAAATTTCAAGACCCAATATAAGAATTTGTGACTTATTAAAATAATTTTTCTGCATTTTTTATATATTTTATAAAAAGTTCTTTAATCTTTACATTTATATTATTTATGTTCATTTTAGACAGAAGAATCTTTAACGGAATTACAAATGAGTATTCATCCCACTGCAACAGAAAAAATGTTTTCAATATTAAAACCAAGCTTAAACAGTATAAATCCAGAACGACGAAGCAAATCAGAAATCTGAAAATATATATGTGCTTTGTTACACAAAATCATACAAAAATTTTGTGTAAAATATTAATTTGCGTATTGTAGATAAATCTTTGCATACACAAGAAAACGTCTACCAGCTCTGTGTTAAATGTATTCTTCCTATTATTTTAAGAATATCAATAGTTATATGTACAGCTTCATGGATCAATTATAATTAATTATTATGTTAATATTATTAATTTAAATATTTACAGTATATTTATAGTATATATTGAATGTAAACTTACTTCACATATATTTAAACATTGTAAGAGAAATGTTATGAAAAATAATAGATGATTTTTAGAACAATCCTTTCAAATTATTAGTAATTCCTTATCCATTTTAGCAAGAACAACTTTTAATGATTAAAAAATATACTTCTCATGAGATTTAATTTTTTTAATTTGAATCTTTTCATTTCTTATTATAGTCAATCTAATGTCACTTACGAAATTAATTACAGGGATTGTGATGCATCATATGTATGCCAAACTAGGAGATAGCTTATTACAAGAATAAAAGAATAAGTTTAATATAAGTAGACTTTTGTCAATCTTATCAATCAATTCAAAATATCGACTAGATGAACTTGAATTCAATTAGAAATTTGTTCATGTTTTAGATACAGAGCTTTTTTATTGAGAAGAAAGTAGTACAGAACTTTTATTGTTTCTGAAATGTACATATTAACAAAAAAAATAGTTTGATAAATAAGAATACAAAATAAACAAGAGAACACTGAGTTCCTCAGTCCTGCTTATGATCCTATTTTAAGAAAAGTTTCACTGTATAAAATTTCCACTTCCAAATACGGTGTGTCTTAATTTTGTATATCTCTTGGTACGACACTTAGTTCCTTAGTTTCTTTTGTGTTATCTTACAGTCGTTTTGGAGACCTTGATCATCTCAGATGTATTTAATAACTTATTGCTTGTCTACCTGTTCCAATGTTATTAATTGTTCGCGGAAATTTTTTTTAAACGTGCACAAGGCATATATATATATATATATATATATATATATATATATTTTTTTTTTACTTGGTGCATTAAATGCATTTAAAAAAATTTTTGAAAAAATAAATTCTCATTATTTTAAATATAATGATAAACATTTTTTTAGGAGTGGAGTAATTCTTCTTCTTACGTTTCTTAATTCCACCCCATAAGCGCAACACTAAATGTAAGGTAGATTCCTTCTGAATATTATAATCAGAAAGAGTTCTACCCCCTTCCAGTTGTTTGCCAGCAAAGATCAATCTTTGGTAAACTTATAAAAAATGTGGTAAATTTATAAAAAATTTTATTCATATTATATTATCCCTTTATTTGAATAACTTAAATAATTTAAATAATTTAATCACGAACATTATATTTAAAGTAATTAATGAGAATTTATTTCTTCAAAAATTTTTTTAAATGCATTTAAATATTTCTTAAAGAAACTGTGTCATATATATACTAAAATCCAAATATGATAATATATATTACAGCAAAAACCATTATTTTGTTTTCCAAACAATCAACATGTTTTTTTTTGTAAAAATATTTAAATAATATTTTTACAAAAAATAACATGTTGACTTAAAATAAATACTTAAATAATTATATAATATTCTTATTAAATCATGTTTATTAATATTAATTAAATAACTAACTTAATTATATAATTAATTATATAATTAAGTTTAAATATTTACGATAATGGTATATTAAATATAAACTTACTTTGCATATATTTAAGTAAGAGAAATGTTATGAAAAGTAATAGATAATTTTTAGAATAATTCTTTGAAATTATTGAGAATTTCTTATCTATATTTTTAGAATAATTTTTAATGATTACAAGGAATAACTTTCATTACATTACAAAAAATAACATGTTGACTGTTTGAGAAAAAAAATAATGGTTTTGATGCTGTAATATACATTATCATATTTGGATTTTGATATATATATGATACAGCTTCTTTAAAAAGTATTTAAATGCATTTAAAAAAATTTTTGAAGATATAAATTCTCATTACTTTAAATATAATGTTTGTGATGAAATTATTTAAATTATTTAAGTTATTCAAATAAAAGGATAAAAATTTTTGTAGAAGTAGAGTAATTCTTTTTGTTATATTTTTTAGCTCCATCCCGCAAGCGCAACACTAAGGTAGACTTCTAAATATTATAATCAGATAACGTTCCACCATCTTCTAGTTGTTTGCCAGCAAAGATCAATCTTTGCTAATCTGGTGGAATTCCTGCGATAAAAGATTCAATTTAAAATTGGAAATTAAGAGAAATTTTAGAACAAATGGAAATAATGCAACTTTGTAATATATATGTATACTGAAACCCAAACATGCTATCGCAGTATCACAAAAATCATTAAAATATCATTAATAACGTACCATTAAAATTATAAAAATATTTATATTTAAAATGTAATTATATATACTGTAGAGCTTATACATATTCTGGCATGAGATTAATTTTCTCTAAAATAGAAATTATATATTACTTGAACAATTTAATAAGTTATAATTTCATGTATAAAAGCTTATTTATATTCCGTAACATACATTTTTCTTACATAATTTAAAATTTCAAGTTTATACCTTCCTCTCTTTATTATTCATCATTTTAGTATATATATAAAATATTTTTTTCAAAATACTAACGAGAAATAAGAATAAAGAACATAATGGATATAATCCTTTGCGAGAACGACTGTATAGATAGCTGTATAGATTTTGTTGTATTTAATAAAACACGTACAATAATAGAGTAATATTCCTTTAGATTAAAAATTAATAATTTCTATTAAATGTCATAAAATAGTTCCTACTTTTTGATTTTGCATTTTATTCTAGTATCTTTTCGATCTAGATATAAATTTAAAAGAAATAAACTTTTATTGAATAAGCAATTTTCTATATTAGATTATTACAAAGAATATGTATATGATCGTTAATGGTGAGAGGAAAGTCTCTGCAACTTTCTGCTGTTGTAAATAATAGATTTACTTAAAATTATAGAATTTCAATGTATATTCCATTAATAATTACTATTATCGGAATTTGAATAAAAAATTGCTATAAGAAAATTTTATATACAAAATTAACTTCTCCTAAAATCTATAAATATAGATGTAAAATAATTAATTTATATAATTTATATAGATGTAAAAGAATTAATTTATATAATTAGTTTCTTAGACATATTTTATTACGTGAAAGAAATTAATTACGTCTATCGTTAAAGAGGTAAACGAGCGATAGGTGATCAGGCGGATAGTCAATCGCGAAACGATTTTTATTATTTTCTTCATTTAACAATCTTGTGATTGGCAAACCGCTGATCCGTTTTTTACGCGAATTCCGCTCTTTGGGATCGTATATCGTACTCTGAAGAAAAGGAGAAAATGGAGATTATAAATCCTTATAAAATTTTTACAAATTTTTACAGTTGTGGAAAAATATTTATTTTTCCTCAGGCTTATTAAATACAAGTGTGTATCCGCATTTGCCGCAATAGTGACGATCTTCCATTGCAGCCATGAACACACCCGCACCGCATTGTTCCATAGGACATTCTCGTCTTAAGCGGTGAATTTTGCCGTTTTCGTCCACCTGTAATATTTTTCACGCCAAATTTAATATTTTGATATTTTATTAAAAAAAGAAAGGAAGTCTCGAAAGAGATAAAGTCTTACTTTATAATATTTAAGCACCGCCAGCTTAACCTTTTTCTTTTTGTGCTTAATTTTTTTTGGTGTGGAGTAATTCTTCTTCTTACGTTTCTTCGCTCCACCCCGTAAACGCAATACTAAATGTAAGGTAGACTCCTTCTGAATATTGTAATCAGAAAGAGTTCTACCATCTTCCAGTTGTTTGCCAGCAAAGATCAATCTTTGCTGATCTGGTGGAATTCCTGAAACGATAAAAGATCCAATTTAAAATTGGAAATTAAGAGAAATTTGAGAGAAAATGGAAATAACACAACTTTATATTTTTCACTTAATTTCAAATTGATTTTAAATTCTTCAAATTAGATCATTTCAATATATGCTTTTCTAGCAAATCTTCAAAATCGATTAAAATAGATCATAAACATTCTTACATATCAAGATTTGCTTACCTTCCTTATCCTGAATCTTCGCCTTAACATTTTCAATTGTATCCGATGCCTCAACCTCGAGGGTGATGGTCTTTCCAGTAAGTGTTTTCACAAAGATCTGCATTATTGCTGGTCCTGTAACATGGAATTAATGTAAATTTAAAATAATAAGAAATTTATTTCAAAAAAAATTTTTAAATGCATCTAAATATGTAAAGAAACTGATATATGTAGACTGAAGTCCAAACACGATGCTATTACAGTATCACTATAATTAAGATATCATTAACATATCATTAAGATGAAATACTTAGAATATAATGATATATATTAGGACTTATACATGCATTTGAAGGAGTGTTTTGGCGACTATTCTAAAAATAAAGGAATAATTCTGTAATATAAAATATATACTTTTAGGTATAAATTAAGATCTTTATTTCAAAAATTACAGTCACTAAAGAATTAAAATAACACTTAAGAATTAAAAAAATTTATAAGCTATTGTTTATATTGCTCTCTACACAAGTAGAACAGCATTAATACATCCATCATTCTCAGGATTATTTGTAACTTGCGCAAATTTCCCCCATACCACTTTGCCCGACTGCGTTACAAGACCTAATTCCGAGATATTGACTTCGATAACAGTTCCTTTCGTGATGACGCCTAAAGTTGTGTAAAGAGGAGAACTCGGATTCTTTTTGACACCAATTATTGGCAGAGAAAACGTTGCCTTTAATTCCGGATGAGTGACGTGGGCAGTTTTAAATCTCAATGCCATTGGTCTGATGAATCTTTCAAACTTGGGTGGTTTCCTCGTGAAGTTTTCTCCAACGAAAGTCACTTTGGTTACCATCCTTTTCCATGATTTTCGTTTCGTCTTTCCACTTCGCAATACTTTGAACACTTCAGATTCAGACTGCGCTCTTACTTTAGGGATTGGAACGTCCCATTTGCCAACCTTTTCCTTGCGTTTTTGCTTTATCATATTGGATAATACTTTGGCACGATTGGTAACATTACGATCCAGCAGATAGACAGGTAACGCTCCATCTGGTAGTTTATCGGATTTCTCTTTGACCTTCTTCTCCTCATGTGCTTTAATTTTCTTTTTCATCTGAATCTTTTCGTTCCGCCTCTCTTTATTGAAGATCTTGGCCTTTATCCCGCGTAAAGTACGAGCTTGCTCCGCTCGCTTGTGAGGTGCACGAGCCTCTCTCTTCCTCTTTCTCTCTTCATAATCCAAACGGCGACCGTAAAGTTTACGGTGCCTCTCAATATATTCATTCTGTGGCATCTTTCTATGTAACTTTTTGTTCTCGTATGGGATTAATTTTCTCTGAAAAAGAAGTTACTACTTGAAACTTAATAAGTTATAATTTCATACATATAGAAGTTTGCTTATATTTTGTAAGATAAATTTCCTTACATAATAACTTAAAGTTTCAAATATACTCTACCTACCTTTACTTATTATTCATCAATTTAGTACATATAGATTTTTATTTTTTTCAAATTTCAAAATTATTAAATAATGTCACTCAAGAAATATAAAGAATATATAATCCCTTACGAGGACAACAGTTAGATAGATTTTGTTGTGTTTAGCAAAGATAACAATGGGACAAAGATAATATTCATTTATATGGATTAAAAAATAATTTCTCTTCGACATCATAAAGCAGGTTTTATTTTAATTAATGATTTTCTGAGTATATTATTCTAGTATTTCTTCGATCCAGAAAATTAAAAGAAATAAATATTCTTAATAAGCAGTTTTGTATTAATAAATTGTTATAAAGAATATATCTATAATATAGATGAAAAAAGTCTGCAGCTCTCTAGTCATATAAATAATAGATTTGCTTAGAATAATTATAGAATTTCATTGAAAAAAATTATAAAAAAATTTTAAATACAAAAATAATTTTTAAAAATATATAAATTTTTAATTATATATTTTTAAAAATATATAAATTTTTAAAAATATATATATTTTTATAATTACATATGTGAAAAAATTAGTTCATATAATTATTTTTTAGGACATATTTTATCTCTTGGAAAAAATTATTAAATTTTAGAGATGTTTTAAAAATTATTAAAATATCTGAAACACATCAGTAGATTGAAAGGCTAAATGAGCGATGTGAGGGAAATGGAGGCTATTTCGACCAACGTGTCGAGTCGGTAAAAAAAGAAGAAGATTTAACCTCGATGATGTTGGATCCGATTGTTGTCTTTGCCAAAGTTTTTCGCAGTTATAAATTACAATTACAATTAAGTGCAATGAATGTTAGATGCTCCGTATTTAATCGAAGCACACAGATGTGAAGATAGGCGCGTGTTCGGATACACATTTGTCGACATGTGTTCGCAGTTACTTTCGTTGCATCGTCGTTTATAAGATGAAGTAAATTGTCATAAATCGATGAAATTTCGATGTTTATGGTAAAACGCGGAAATAAACTGATAGCTTCGTGTTTGGGCTTTTTTTTCCTCTAAATTACAGAAAACCACGTTGGATCTTACCTTCGATATACCAGCGAAAATATGGAAGAGAACGATCCAGAAACGATGTATTTAATAGAATCGTTTTCGCAATAACGGAAATGACAGCTTCCGCGACATCTGTGAACAGGGTTTAGGTAAGTATAAGTCTCGATTTACAATAGGTAATTTAAGCCCTAAGCCTTAAAAAATTGACCAATCACAGCCGAGTATTCTCTTCATACTTGACTGTGATTGGTCCAACCTTTTAAGGCTTAACACGTCGTCTACAATGGCAGTAGGATTAATGGATTAAAGCTGTAACTTAAGGAATTGACCAATCACAGTCAAGCATTAAGAGAATACTCGACTGTGATTGGTCAATTTCTTGAATTACACCTATAATCCATTAATCCTACTGCCATTGTAGACGACACTTAAGGCTTAAATTACCTATTGTAGACCGGCCTAAAGGCGCCTTTTCATGTGACACTCGACGCTCATTTTCAAAGTCAAAGATATCACGTGATCAAAACGTCAAAGATATAGGTGCAATTTCATTGACGCTAAAAAGTAGCGTCAACTATTGGTTGAACAAAGAAGTAAGTAGTTGCTTCTTTGTTCAACCAATTGTTGACGCTACTTTTTAGCGTCAATGAAATTGCACCTTATCACGTCATTAAAAGTAAAGATATCAATTCGTCGTTTTTTGTCACGTGATATCTTTTGACGTTAAAAATGAGCATTAAGTGAAAATCCACCCTGAGCGGCCTTTTCATTGACACTAAAAAGTAGCGTCAATCATTGGTTGAACAAAGAAGTAAGTAGTTGCTTCAAGATGCGGCCTCATTGACGCTAAAAAGTAGCGTCAACCATTGGTTGAACAATGAAGCAACTATACTTACCTCTTTGTTCAACCAATGGTTGACGCTACTTTTTAGCGTCAATGAGGCCGCACCTTCATTGTTCAACCAATGGTTGACGCTACTTTTTAGCGTCAATGAAAAGGCCGCTTGAAGATGCGGCCTCATTGACGCTAAAAAGTAGCGTCAACCATTGGTTGAACAATGAAGCAACTATACTTACCTCCTTGTTCAACCAATGATTGACGCTACTTTTTAGCGTCAATGAGGCCGCACCTTGACGCTTGACTTGACGCTTGACGCTGCTATTTCCCCCTTCCAGAGATGAAGTCAGTCACGTGACCAGTTTTGACGCTCGAATCAAGCGTCGAGCGTCACCATGAAAAAGCACCTTAATGGTTCTCGCGCTCTTATATGAAATACGCAATGCAAAGTCGCCATAATCATATGTTAGATTATATATATTTATGATATATTTCCAAAACAATTTTTAAATATCCAATAATTATCTCGGACATATCAGAAGCAAAAGATAGTGTCCACGCAAGTTCTTGAATAAATTTGACATCTCGAAAAATTATGGAAAGATTTCAAAAACACTTTGTCCTTGATGAATATTAGGGATTTACCAGATTCATTGTTCGTCTCATATAGAAGAAGTTATGTGATTCATATTATCTGTTCATATACATACATACAGGGTGTCCCAATTATCTTCCGTCATCTTTCAAAGACAGATTCCTGGGATCATTTGAAGACGATTTTTCTTCAACGAAGATATCAATGAAGGCCATCATTTTTTGCATGTTCCCGATATTTGTCATCGTATATTTTTGCAATTAAGTCTTAAATTAAAACTCAACTAAAGTAAACTCTATTTAAAATTAATCAAAGAATGTGGTTTTGTTAATATTTTATTTCTACAAAGCTTAGTTTACGAAAAACCCCTTATTTCCAATCACTTATAATTCGAAAATTATTAGTGCCTCGACATTTTCGTTGAGGAAAAATCGTCTCGGATGATCCCAGGAATCTGTCTTTGAAAGATGACGGAAGATAACTGGGACACCCTGTATATATCACAACAATATTGCATAGTAAGATAACATTCTGATAGTAACGTAATGACAGTAACACGTATATATGAATAGTGTGGAATTATCAAATTTCTATGCTTTTTAATTTCTGTTTCTGTTGAAACCTATTATTTACTTAACTTTTTTCTCTTACAGAATAAATTTTATATAAAAATACGTAACAAATAAAAAATATACATAGAAATATATTGAACAAAGGAGTGATTGTAAAATAAAAATGGGTAACTAGATATTATTTGCACAAATAACAAAAAAACAAATTTTATTGTAAAAAAATTTGCTTTATAAATATTGTGTATAAATAGGTAGTTCCTCTAGCCAAGAAGCTGTAAATAATGAACAAGCTATAAATAATGAACAAGCTATAAATAATGAACAAGCTGTAAATAATGAACAAGCAGACTCTCCCAATGCAAATGAGATTTTTCCAAAAGATACACCTGCAAGTACAACTGCTATTGTGCCATCCAAGTTTATTTCGAGAGATGATTTTTTTACAACGTGGTTATCTTGGAAAGATGAGTTTCTTACCTATATGAAGGATATTGATAAAGAGGAAGCCAACAGAAATATGTGGGGTATTATGCTTTTAAATCGCATGGGTCCTGTTGGGCAAGAAATTTGCAGAACATTTTCCTTTCATGATAAAAATGCACAGGATGATATAAAAGTATTAATCAAGAAATTTGATATTTATTGCATGTACCGAGATAAGAAAAAAGTTAATGAGGATATCGATAAATATGTAAATGACTTAAAGGTATGTCGATGAAACTATATGTTATAACTATATATCTATGAATATAATTTATAAGTTGCAATCATTTGTCTTTTGCAGCTCACCGCTACTGCACATAATTATTCTGATCCTGCAAGTATAGTGAGAGAGAAAATTATAGAGGATATCAGCACTCAACGCTTTACAGGAAAAGCTGCGCTTTTCATAGAACGGAAAGGAACAAATTTTATACCATTCTTGCAATCGTTAGATCTCAACAATATTATTCTCTTTTGGAAACAATGCGAAGATTTAATGGCACAAAAATGTAATGAATATAATGAAGAAATGCCAAAACAAAATGCTGCTCATGTCACATCTATTGTAATAGATTGTAGTAGATGTGGTAAACAACATAATCGAAATCGATGTCTAGCTTGGGGTGTCCAGTGCAGTAAATGTAAACAATTTAATCATTTGACGGAGTGTTGCAAAGTTAAATACGTGGATAACTGTACTAAATGTGGAACGAGTCATATTCAATCACGTTGTCCGGCATTTGGCGAAGTATGTACAAAATGCGGCAAAAGCAATCATCTTTCATGGAAATGCCAGATTCCCTTTATAAACAATTGCTGGAGATGTGGCCAAGATCACGTTGCGTCCGCGTGTCCTGCACAAGGACAGATATGTCGTCGATGTAACAAACCAAACCACTTGGAAGAACAATGTGCAAGCAAGCTGGACGATAATACACAGCAACAGTAAATGTGATAAATCCTGTTATATTTTTTTTATTAATATCAGATATATTTTTTTAATAATATCAGATATATTTTTTATTAATATCAGATATATTTTATAGAAAATGTAATATTATATATTTATATAAACAAATACTATTTTAATACTATTTTAAATATATAGGCACTAATGGTTTTAAATGTATAACATTTATATTCAAAGCTTGTTTTAATACACGAGCAAGGATATTTTATATTGATAAATAAGGATGAAAATAAATAATAATTTTCAAGATTTTCAGATTATTTATTAAATAAAAAATTATATTACGCTTGATCACCAGTTGGCATGGATTTTATAATATCAGAATTGCCAGGATCTGTGATCGAAAGAGTACAGACACGGAAGTATTTACCACAGGCTGTTCCTAATTCAATGTTGTTTCCCGTGTAATGATGTACGCCGGTCTTCGCCAACATGGCATAGTACTCGATCTCCGACTTCCTATTAAATATAGATTAAATTATGTTAAAAAAATGAATGGAATTATAATTTAATGCCCTGTGCACTTACAAGCAAGGGCAGGAGACTACTCCATAGAACTCCTATTCAATTTACAATAAGCAAATTGATATAGTCATTGATAATTCATTAACTTCATTATTATTAAATGATTTATTTACTTGATGTAACATTTTTACTTTTAATAAAATATAAAATTCTTATAACACATAATAAGCTAATTTTAATAGAAACTTTTATAAGTTCTCTCTATTAAGATATTCTTATATTTATATTTTAGATACACATGTTGCATTTATTAATATCCATCAAATGTTTTTCTCAATTTACTTTTAAGAGAAACTATGTTCCTATTCAACATATCAATTCGCTCTTACAAAAGGAGTGCTACTTCTCAGTCTCACCTCAACGGCGGTGTATTACTAGCGATGATGACCAACTTGGCTTTGCCTTGGCGAAGGGACTTCAGAGTTTGCTTATAACCAAGAACATATTTACCAGATTTCATAACGAGTGCTAATCTGGTATTGATGCTCTCTTGAGCCTTTTTCTAAATAAATAAGCGACAAAATTATTTTTATCATTTATATTTAACCTCTGAGAAATAAAATTTATAAAAAAAGATTTATTTTATATTTAGATTTAATGAAATATTTTTCTTTTTTTATTATATATAGATGTGGAATCGAAGATATATATTTAATATATATATATATATATATATATATATATATATATTAATATAATATAATTTATATATTTAATTTAAATATTATATAAATTATAAATTTATTTATATATTATAATATATTAATATATATATTTAATATATATTAATATATATATATATATATATATATATATATATTTAATATATGTAAAAAAAATGTTTTAAGTTTCGTTGTGAAAATTTATCTAAGAGAGCACGTGGGCGCGCAAGAATGCAATTACCTGTTTCTTCTGGGCCACCATTTTTGCAGGTGATTTTTCTCACGACTGTAATAACATTCGCAATTATTAATTTTATGTATTCATATAATTATATACAAATAAAATGATATATTAAACGTTCAGAAATCTTCAATACTACAACATACCTCGTGGCAAGACGAACGATGAAGAAGAAAGAACGAAGATGAGATCATTGCCTTGTGCACCAATGTACATGAACTATAAAATACATAAAGAGAAGTCAAACACACACAAGGCTAATGTTATGTGTGTTCCAATGTGATTGGTGGAGGGTACTTGATTGACCACGTTTCCAATTGGCCAATTCAAAATAGGACTCTCTGATTGGTTAATCGTTGCTGGTTACCTTAGACACAGGTCGATATAATTGGCTGTCAAACGAGATACTCTCGTGATTGGTCATTCGATTGATTACTATTCTAGCGCTAAATTCAAACTACGTTTTAAGATATTTGATAGAAATATTTATTTATTTACAAAAATTATATATAAATTATATTTATATTATATTTATTTATTATATAAATTATATTTAAAATTATATAAATTATATTTATATTATATTTATTTATTTTATAAATTATATTTAAAATTATATTTATTTATTTACAAAAAATAAGCAAAAAAAGAGCAAGATCACTGTTCATTAGAGATTCCTTAGAAGATATCATGAAGTAATGCAAATCGAGTCTACATCTTGGCAATAAAAAATAGAAAATAATAAATTTGACAGATATTTCTTACATCTCAGATAATGATTGTAAATTGACGCAATTTCGATTTGACATTGTATTTTTGCAATTTTTTTCAATTTTTTTTCAATTTTTTTCTTCTCTTCTTTTCTCTCTTTTTAATGTTTAAATATTTTTATTATAGAAAATATATAAATAACATATATATATATATATATATATATATATATATATATATTTTGTTTATAAATATATAATTTATATTTATTTCATTCATTTACTTATCTCATTCTGTAAACAATATATAATGCAATATTAAAGGGAAAAAACTCTTATATTGAGCCAATTGAGCAACAGTTTTTAACTCTGTATGTGCATGTGTGTGTGTGTGTTGCATATCAGAGAGAGAAAGAGAGAGCTGGAAGTAATATTAGTAAAAATAATATTTAATGGCTTTTCAATTATAAATATATTTGTCTCTCTCCTATCTTTATAGATACAGATCGTTTGTACACAAAGAATGAGTTTGTCGTAATAATAATATTATTTAAAAAGAAAATAATTATGATTTATCTTCAAGAGGAAGTACGCGTACACGTAATTATATTGAAATGATAAGCTGTAAAGTAATACGATGAACTGCGACTTAGATAATACAGGTATTGTTATATCGTATGCTTGGATTTATTGAAGACGTTTGCTCGTTTCTTTTTTTACATTGTTTCGTACATAAAATGTTAGGAAGGGAAAGAAAAGGTTATGAACTTTTGAAGCATATGTATATAGTAATCACTAAATTATGTAAACAAATGCATACATAATCAGTACAGAGTGAAATATTCATGTTGCCACGCTTACAGGCTTGTGTAAGGATTATCATTTTCAATATGTCAATATGTATATTTATCAAGCAATAATTAGATCAAATTTCTGTTGAAAAATGGATAAAAATAGGCTGAACTAATAAACTTCCTCAGATCTGCAAATTTCAATTCTTTGATCATTGTTGAAAATTTTGTATCACATTTTTGTGTGCATATATTACTGATACATAATATAAAAATATAATAATAGTAAATTAAAAATAATGTAAAAATATAATAATAGTAAATTAAAAATAATGTAAAAATATAATAATAGTAAATTAAAAATATCTGTTGTATTATATAAATAAAGCTAAATTTAAGAGAATAGAATTATATGAAAATAAAAGATTATTTTATCTATAGAAAAAATATATATGTATATTATATAGGAGGATATATATTTTTATCAAACATTTCTTATAACTCTTACAAGATAAATGTTATAATATAATATATTAAGAAGTTTTATTCAATGAATATTATTTGTGCACAGAATCTTGTTAACATTCTATATAAATTCTATTATAAAAATCAAATGTATAAAAATGAATGATTTTAATTCTTACTGCGCATATGCAAATATTTAAAATTTATTAGCTCCTTGTGAATCTTGTTAGCGTTCTATATAAATTCTGTTATAGAGATCACAAATATAAAAAATAAAAAATAATTTTAATTATTTCTTATTGCATATGCAAATATTTGAAACTAAATTAGTTCCTTGTTACATAGATATATCTTTAAAATGGAACTCAAATGTGCAATTCAAACATATAATTGGGGAAAACATGGTATGGACAGTATTGTTGCAACTTTGATGAAATCAGCTAATACTGATTTTGTGGTGGATGAGGAAAAGACTTACGCGGAACTATGGATGGGTACTCACGTGAATGGTCCATCGTATCTCAAGGACACAAATATCTCCTTGCAGAAATATATTCAAGAGAATACTAAGGTGTTAGGTGATACGATACAAATGTTTGGCTCTGACTTGCCTTTTCTCTTTAAGGTCTTGTCTATTAATAAAGCTTTGTCCATTCAAGTGCATCCAAATAAGGTAATATATATTATTTGTATTTTTTTATTAACCGTAAGAGTAGTGTATTATGATTGATTTATGATTTCAGGAAAAGGCAAAAGAACTACACGAGTTGTATTCAAATATCTATAAGGATCCAAATCACAAACCAGAATTAGCGATAGCTTTGACCCCTTTCGAAGCACTCTGTGGATTCCGTCCAATCAATGAAATAAATGATTATCTGAGTAATATACCAGAGTTACTTTCTGTGATAGGAGAAACCAATGTTCGCCGTTTACTTCAAGCAACCGATTCTATGGTTGGTGACGCTTTGCGACAATGTTTTTACAGTCTTATGACCTGTGATTCTAATGAAGTGACACAACAGTTGAGAAGTTTGATAGACAGATTGCACAATACAGGTACAAATTTCTATATATAGAATGTTAAATAAATCATGATCAAAAATCCCATATGACAAAAAAAAAACATTTTTAAAAATAAAAATATTAATAAAAAAATAAAATTATTAATAAAATTTCTTTAATAATTATAACATGATTAACTGAATATCCTGAATATATTTTTGTATTCTCCCTTCTGTAGGAAGAAATTTTTATTAGAAAAATATAATCATATCCAGTTGCTCTTAGATGATTCTTACAGGCAGTGGATAAAAGCCGATGTATTAAAACGCCTCTATGCAGATTATCCTGGAGATGTGGGCTGTTTTACAATTTACCTGTTCAATTATATAACAATGCAGCCAGGCGAAGCCATATATATTGGACCAAATATACCTCATGCATATCTTTCTGGCGGTGAATTATTTTTGAACTTTTGAAATTTAAATATAAAAATATGAATGACTTATATATCGACTTTCAATTTTCAGATTGCATAGAGTGTATGGCATGTTCAGACAATGTGATACGAGCTGGACTTACACCAAAAGCAAAAGATGTGCCAACTTTAATACAAATATTATCGTTTGAATGCGAGTCAGCTTCTGCCAGAAAGATTCAACCATTCCGAGAAGATGTGTTCACCGAAGTTTTTCGTCCACCGATCCCAGAGTTTGCAGTAGCCAAGATCACTGTGAGTTTTAATGTGTTACCATTCAACAATTGTGATTGTATAGAAATATATGCATATATTTATATTACATATCCAGCTACCACCTGGACGACCATCTCACAATTTAAAACCAAGGAATTCAGCCAGCATTCTATTAATAGTGAGTGGCAAAGCAGAAATATCTTCCAAGATATTTTCTCGCGGCTCTGTTCTGTTTATCCCTGCTAATGAAGCAGTGGAAATTAAAGTTTTATGTGGCTGTCATCCTATGCTGATGTTTCAAGCATTTCCAAATATTTAAGGATATAAAAATCGACTAACAAATCTCTTGCAATGTTTGTAAAGTGCAAAATATACTTAATTTTTTGTCTTTAAAACAATTGGTATATCAAATAACTTTTGGTAAGGAACGTCCATTTTTCTAACTGCTATATGATTGTATATAATTTTTCTTTTAAGCATAATTATAAATTATACATTACTGGAAATTTACAGTAATTAAAAAGATATTCAATAAATTTTATTAATAACTAAATATTTATATATATATACATGCATAAACATGTATAAATAAGAAAAAAATGTCAATCATCTTCTGATTCATTGCCTCTTTTTGAAGTACCCTCGGTAGGTTTTTCCTCTTCCTTGTAATGTCGATATTCTGGTTTTAATTCCCACATATTTCTATGAGGATTTTTTAAGTTATAGTTACAAACTTCATTGAGGATTTCTTTTAAATAAACCTAAAATTTTTGAATATAATATGTGAGAGATATTAAATTCTTCTATAATACGTTACATATTTAAATATTGCATGAATAAATAAGATATATATATATATATATATATTTACAATAGGTTGTCTTGTAATTTTCACAAGATCTCTTATATTGTAATATTGATGTTTCTCAAATGCTGCAAAAAGCATATCTTGTACAGCATTTCTATCATCTCTCATTTTCTTTCCTTCTGCTTTCTTCTTCTCAGCATATTCAATCTGTAAAATGTTCACTGTTTATGAAACATCTTAATCTAATTATGTTAAAAAATATCAAAAGATAATACTCACATTGTGTTTGTGATCAGATACAGGCTTGAAATTCTGTACAACTCTATCTAATTGTTGAACTTGTCTTTGTGGCACAGAAGCTCTCTTGATACTCTCTAGTTTCAGCTTCATATAACAATTATCAGCTAAAAAAATATTTAGCAAAAAATGTTTGGAAAACATACATATATATATATAAAAATCTTTTTCTCAACACACTTTATTTGCATAAGTAATATACCATATGGTCTGCATTCTAATTTTTGTACAATCCTTCCTTCCATAAAAAGCTTCTCTGTTTCTGGAACAATTGCATCTGAGCTCGCGGATGCTGTAAGATTAATAGATATTGTCAGAAAATAAACATCAAATTTGAAAGTAGTGTCAAACTTACGGGTAACATGAGAAAATACTCCTAGCATTTGTCTAGTAACTGTCGTAACATCTAATCTATGTTGTTTTGGAATCTCTTCTTCTCCGGATTCTTTCAGAGCCAAAACAGCCTCTGACAGTTTGAGAGATACTTCGGCTTTCTGTCCTGGGTTTCTAGAAAAGATATACAAACATAAAATAATTCTCAAACAAGAAAATTTGGTATTAAAATTTTACACTTATAAAAATAAAATAAAATAAATTATAATATTATAAAATAAATATATAAATAAATTATAAAATATAATTATAAAATAAAATAATTCTCAAACAAGAAAATTAGATATTAAAATTTTACACTTATAAAAATAAAATAAAATAAATAAAATAAATATTATAAAATAAATTATAATATTATAAAATAAATATTATAAGATAAAATAATTCTCAAACAAGAAAATTAGATATTAAAATTTTACATTTATAAAAATTATCATTATAATTATATTAACAGCACAATGGTTTAATATATTTTTCAAACTATAAATCCTTCATAGCAGACACAAAATATTGCATCAAATATTACACTTTCTTTTTTGTTTTTTTATACCTCCAAGAACAATTTTAAATTACATATACAAATTAATGTAGCAATAGGCAAATTTACTTCGTAATTTTTAATTTGCCGACTTCTATATTGCCAGGTGCTTTTTCCCACTTGTTGGCTATATATTTAGGCACTTTGACAAGCCACACACCACGGCCAGCATTACTTAAATCCAGTTCTTTTTCCGTATGCGAGGTATTCGTGGACATTATCGTTATTATTTTTTTAATAGTGTGTAGTAAAAAAGATTATTTTTTCCTTTCTCTTAACACGATGTAATTATTATACTTTCCTTTTTTTTTAAACATACAAGCACTTGGGCAAAGTGAAATATTTATCTGAATCGTCTGCTTTCTGCTTACATCCTATGAATATATATAACAGTGATGAGAAATCATGGGGTAATTTTGGATATATTCAATTTGATTCGAAAGAAAATCGCTCGAAGCTGATTCCAATCAAAACAAAGAAATCTTTGAACCTTCAGCTTGATTGGTGAATCTATTTAAATTTAATTTGGTATATTTTTATCGTTCAGTTGGTACCTTGGACTATGTGTTTTAATAGTCAAAGGTTGGTACAAGATATTTGTACACTTTCTAACCTGAATCAACGTGAAATTTATTTTTAACAACACATTGCATTATTAAATCGGAGTAAAAGATGCTGAATTTTTCTCAAGCAGGTGATGTTAATCTACTGAAACCGATATATTACAAATATATAAAAGATTCTGTAATGGTAATGTATTACAGAATATATTTTACAATATATATAATAATGAATTTATTATTTATGAATTTATTATTATTTTGAAATATTTTTTTTCGCGAAAAATATTCTGTCTTATTTTTCACAATTAAATTATTACAGTTTGCAATAAAATATATTCAATATTCCGATTTCTTATAAAATCTAAATTATCATCCATTCATATTATTTTATCGAACCATATTATTTGATTGATAAATTATTTTATAATCTAGCAAATTGTGCAATATTTAATAAATAGTAAACTATTATTAAGTGATTATGAAAAGAATAATGAAATAGTAATTTTTAAACACACAATCTCATTTCGTTACTTTTCTCACAAATCAACATTGCATGGTATTTCTTTAACAAAAAAGCATGTTATTTCAAATTAAAAAAATTATTTTAAATTTTAATGTATTTCCAATATACAGAGAGACACGTTATATATTAAGAAAAATATAGATAGAGAAGATAGAGAAGAGAACTGTTTGAAATCTAAAAGTTATTAAACATAGTGTTGAAAAATTGTTATATGAAATATTTCTAAAAAGATATTATATCACACAAATATATATCCTGAAATAAATATGAAATTTAATTATATGTATTTGTTGCAGGTTATAAATGTTTTCAATAATCAAATATTAAATTATGAAGGAATTGACAACAAAACAATTACAAAGATTGGAAAAGAAGAAAGCAAAGATGGCGGCATTTTTGGAAATTGCAAAACTCAATGATAAAGACAAAGAAGCAAAATTACAGGCTTTGAGACAGGTTTATATTTAAATCTAAAATCATTTGAAGTAAAAATATATGCATAACATTTTGAAGAGGACTATACACATTGTTATTAAATTATAATTATTTTCAGACATCAATCACTGATAGCTCTAACACTCCAAACAATAATATAATAGGAGGAAATTCTAATTATAAACGGTCTTATAAAGATTTGGGTGATACATCCTCAGAAATTTCCGAGAAGAAGGAAGATGGTCATGAATCAGAGTCACAGAGTCTTTTTAATAATAAAAAACCCAGGTATTTGATTTATGAATATGCTCTATGAATAAGCTTTTATATATTGGATATAATTTATTCTTTTTTTTTTATACAGATTAAGCAATTGCGATGAATACATAAAGCTAAAGCAAGAACTTAGAAAACGTAAAAAAAAGCTTCAAGCAATTCCAAGGATTACCCTTAAAGCAGTTGGTGAGAATGCTACTCTAGATGTTGCAAATATGAAGAGTAGAATACCAATATTTCTCAGTGATATACAGCATCTTCTATTATATTCATTGCTTGGACATCATTCTCCCTACCTGCCAGCCAGATGGTGTCAACTTGAAAAATATAACAAAGTAATAGTCACAGTATTATCAAAAATAATATCTTATTTTAATCTATATTGTATGATTCAAAGTAAACAATTTTTCTTAAAGGTAAGCCATACTGTAGTTTTTGTGATTGAAGGCTTGTCTTCGTATCATTTCATGGCTTATGAGAACATGTTTCCACATATAACAAATAATTTGAAATATCACTTAGAGGTAGTAACACCTGCTACTTATGGAGCATCCATAATAGAGGAGCTTGCAGCTGTACCTTTGACAGGAACTCAAAGTGATAAATTAATAAGAAGTATGTATATATGTATAATTACATTGTATATTTATAAAATCTTTCTGATTTGTATCTTTCATTAAAATAAATTTTTTTTTAAGTATATTTTATCTACAAAGTAAGAAATTTTTAATTAATTAAATATAATTAAATATTTTTAGAGTATATAACAATTATAAATTATCTATTTTGTCATGTGAATGCGGAGGAGGTAATTCTCATTTTTCAGGATATGGTTCTGTGGAATCTGCTTTGCAAACAAATGGAAATGTCATAAAATTGCTGAGAAGCGTTTTTCCAATGCATTCGGCAAACGATGATGTGAAGAACGAATGCGATATAAGTTTACCATCTACTGATAAATTTTGTAGAACAAAGTTGCTTTTGTCATTATCACAGATGGTGGAAGAAAATTATCCTGTACCTTTGAAGGGAATATTAGCAGAAAAGTAAGATTTTTTTCATTATACAAACACAAAAATTATATTGTATAATAAAATTATAATTATATTTTATTATAAATATATAATTTAATTTTATTATTTTATTTTATTTTATTACAAATATATAATTTAATTTTATTATAAAATTATAATTATATTTATTTATAATTACTTTTTTTTTTAGATATGCTTCATATCTATTGACAAAAGATGTTTATGAAGAGGCCACAGCAACATCGCCAATGTTTGGTTTAGATTGCGAAATGTGTCTGACAACGAGTGGTAATCTAGAACTCGCCAGAATCACCATTGTGGATGAAAATATGAAGGTAAGTACCATTAAATATTTGCGTATTAAAAGGAAATACATATAAATCTGCGCTTTAATCTTTGTTCACAGGTTGTTTATGACACTCTGGTGAAACCGGAAAACACGATAACGAATTATCTAACTCGGTACAGCGGTATTACTAAAGAGATGTTAACCGATGTCACAGTTACGTTACACGATGTTCAGCAAACATTAAAAATGCTACTTCCTGCGGATGCGATTCTTGTAGGACAAAGCTTGAATTCTGACCTGCATACGTTAAAAATGATGCATCCCTATATCATTGATACTTCTGTAATATTCAATCTTACGGGAGACAGGTATTCTACATGAAATACCACAAATATTGACGTTATGTCTCTTGTGTGCATTTGTTTGATTTCATTTTTTTTACACAGATGCAGGAAAACAAAGTTGCAGATTTTGGCGCGCGAATTTCTCGGAGAGAATATCCAAGACAGTAAAGCTGGACACTGTTCGGCGGAGGATTCGAAGGCTTCAATGAAATTGGTCCAGTTAAAATTAGCGAATAGCGTCGATTATGGGGACGCCGTGTTGCTCGGTGACCGCAATATGAGAATAATGGGAGAAGAAACGGAGAAGGAAAAATCGCAATGGGCATTACAAAAAATGGAGATGAAAAAATATGCCACATCGATATTTAATCACATAACGAAAAATAAAAATACCGCCGCCATCATAGGTAGCAGTGAAATAATGTCCGAGTACTCCAAGTATCTGATGAATTCGTCTTTTAATGTCATGGATGATGAAAATTTCGCAAAAACCGATCAAGTTAGTACATGATTATTCCTATTTTTTGAGTTTGTTATTTCTATCTTTTTATTAATATTTAATTAATTAAATTAATATATATAAATTAATATATTTAATTAATTATATTAATATATTTAATTAATTATATTAATATTTAATTATATATTTTCTCGATATTAATACATTTATTCAAGACAAAAATTAAATATTTTTGTTAAATTAATTAAATATATTAATATAATTAATTAAATATATTAATTTAATTTATATATATTAATAAATATTATATATATTTATATATATATATATTAATTTAATTAATTAAATATTAATAAAAAGATAAAAATAACAAACTCAAAAAATAGGAATAAATGAATTAATAAATGTCTTGAATAACTATTAATATTGAGCAAATATACAGGGTGTTTCATTTTAATCCGACCATCTAAATTTCTCGGAACCTAAGCAAGATAGAGAAAAATGTTTTAGACAAAAGTTGTATGGTTTCAAGGGGGACATAAGATGGTGTCATTAGTTTGATCTTGAAGAGCCACCTGAAGGACACGCGAAGGTCAGCTCCAACTTTTTAAATGGGACACCCTATATGCTTTTGCATATTCTTGTAGCTCATCTCAAGAGCTTTCCAAAACACTATAATTAAGTTAGTTTTCATTAAGTACTTTCCAAGTTATGAGGCTTGAAATCATTTTTTAATTTTACATAAACCGTAAAATATCTTGTAAAATATTCATTTTTCGATTATTTTACCTTAATACTTTTATGTACAAAATAATGAAAAGAATCAATTGGTGTAAAGAAAACTCATAGTTGTTTCGAAAAAAAATATGTAATTTGCAATTAACAATTACATATTTTTTCTTAAAAATAACTATGTCTTTTCTTTACACCAATTGATTCCTCTCATTATTTTGTACATAAAAGTATTAAGGTAAAATAATCGAAAATTGAATATTTTACCAAGATATTTTACGGTTTATGTAAAATTAAAAAATGATTTTAAGCCTCATAACTTGGAAAGTACTTAATGAAAACTAACTTAATTATAGTGTTTTGGAAAGCTCTTGAGATGAGCTACAAGAATATGCAAAAGCATATAGGGTGTCCCATTTAAAAAGTTGGAGCTGACCTTCGCGTGTCCTTCAGGTGGCTCTTCAAGATCAAACTAATGACACCATCTTATGTCCCCCTTGAAACCATACAACTTTTGTCTAAAACATTTTTCTCTATCTTGCTTAGGTTCCGAGAAATTTAGGTGGTCGGATTAAAATGAAACACCCTGTATAATTAAATATATTAATATAATTAATTAAATATATTAATTTAATTAATTTATACATATTAATTTAATTAATTAAATATTGATAAAAAGATAGAAATATCGAACTCAAAAAATAGGAATAATAAAAAAAAAAATAAAGTAATTTTAATTATTTCAACATTATATTTAACATCGATTTATTATAATCACAGGTACGTCTCGTAATAGCGGATAATAATAAACACGCCGTAGATCGAACTGCAGAAATTGCAATGGAACACGCTTTCGTGTTGTGTCACGTGAGAATAAAAGAAGAGCAATTGAAGGAAGAACAGGTAGAGAAAACGTTGCACACTGTGAATAAGTGGAGCCACATGCTTTGGCAACATAATGCTATAAACAGCCTTGCATGCGTGATATTCGGTGGACAAAATAATGCCGCGAATGGTGCCTGTTTCTTGAATATCAAAACGGAAGTGTCGTCAGATATTGTCATACGAGCTTAAAAAAGTCCGTTGCTGTGGACCTATCTTAATTATTAAATAATCTATGAGAAAAAGAAATAACGATCTTTTTTTTTGTTAATATTGGATAAGAGCGTAGAGAATTTCTCGTGGCTATGTATCAATTTAGATACAATTGTACAAATAAGTTAATATTTTATATCCTTTGTATTACCTTGATATTTGGAAAAAAAATTATCAAATAATTTGCAGAATATATTTATTTGCATAACATGCTTTATATATAAAAAAGGAATCTTATAAAGAAAAAAACCAAATATATGTTCAATGTATTTATATATTATGCGATAAGTATATATAAATACATTGGACATTAGAAAATTATATTAATACACGCAATCAAAAAATACAGCATCTTCCCAATTTTATTTCTTGATAACACGAATATTTTATTCTAGAACAACACTTTGCTCAAAATGTCGAATAATGATAAAATCCATATGTGTAAATACAGTAACTTAATCTTATATGAATTATAAAGTTTTTTTTTTTTAATTTATGAAATATTAGTGAAAATTAAAAAGAACGTTTTCAAAACGCATTATTAAAAAAATCGATTACTTGAGGATGCCTTTTGCTTCTCAAGATACATCATATAAGCCGAAACGGGTTCCCGGTTATTCCTAGCGAGCATACGTTCTCTCAATGAAGCTGCTGCGGAACTGCCTGATGATTGTTTTTCAGCCTTTTGTAGATCTACTACAGTGAATTCTGTGGTGCTACCAAATGAACTCGATGCGACCAAGCCACCCTCGTTCTTCGCAGTCGTTGCCTTCGATTTTTTGCCGGACAAAACTGATGGACCACTCTGTTGCTGGATTTGTGAACGTTTCTTTTTCGCTCTCGTTGGCTGATCCGTCAGATTTTCGACCACATCATCTGGAAGTCGTTTCAATCCTGAAGACGATGGTAAGGAATCACTCTTCCCCGTAACTTCCTTTCTTTGTTTCTTGTCAGGAATCTTTAAAACTTGCTTCTGAGTCTTTTCGATATTCTCTCGCTTTTTCTTTTTTAATTCTTTTGTATTTCTAGCCCTAATGCGCATCTCTGCAGCATGAATCGCTTCTAGGGCTTCTTTCCGTGCTTTGATAAAAGCAATATTTTTGGATTTAATCGGATCTGATGGAATATTTTGTTTTTGGAGTTTATTAGATCCCAGATCCTTAGTGGATTTTAATTCTGAGGTTCGAATTTGTGACGATGAAATTTTTTCCTCTCTCTTCTTCTTCTTCTGCTTTATATCTAATAACTTTACTGGTACCATTTCTTCACTTTCCGCTATCTTTTGTCGTTTAGATTTTTTCTGAACTACGTCCGCAGATAAATTCAAGTCTGAACTATCTACAATTTCATAATTTTTTCTCTTACGTCGCATCGACTCCGTTTTATTTTTGCGAATATTCTTTTGAAGCACGTCCTCTTCGTTCACATTTTCATTCCGTTCAATAACATTAAGTTGCTTCTTCTTCCGTTTCTTTTCCTTTTCATCAGTTTGATTATCTCTGCTATCATCTTCTACGATTTCTTGCGCAAGTTTAATACGTTTTTTCTTTTTAGGAACATCTGATTCCATCACATCTTGAGTCAAGGCTTCATCAGGGATATTTTCGCTTGAAATGTCTTCCGTTCGCGCTTTACGTTTCTTCTGTTTCTTTCTACGCTTTTGTATGCCATCATCACCAGATGAAATTATCAGATTAAGTATTTCCTCTTTAGCAGTTTCCAATTTTGTTTTAGCTTGCGCAATGTCCTTCACCTTTTTAGCAGAGGATACTTTTTTCTCTCCTGAATCAAGTTCCACGTTTAAGGCTGATGTGCTTGCCTCTTCATCATTTTCCAATTTTGTCCTCGTTTGTGCAATATTCTTCACCTTTTTAGCAGAGGACACTTTTTTCTCTCCTGAATCAAGTTCCACGTTTAAGGCTGATGTGCTTGCCTCTTCATCATTTTCCAATTTTGTCCTAGTTTGTGCAATATCCTTTACCTTTTTAGCAGAGGATGGTTTTTTCTCTCTTGAATAAAGTTCCATACTTAATGCTGGTGCACTTTCATTTAATTTCTCTTTTCGGAGATATCTTATTGTAGGTGATTCAGTATGAGTGATATTCATTGTTTTGCGTAAATCACTCATCTTGGAATGTACCGGTTTCGAGAGTCCTGCTTTTTCTATAGCTTCCAGTAGGTCGGATGGAAGACTTCTATTTAATCGTTTTTTCTCATCGGTTGTAGGATTAAATTCCCTTAAACTGACGTTCTCTCTTAATATGGAATCTCTCTTGGATTTCTTTTTCTTAAACGAAGTATCTGTCTGTGTTGTTTTCGTGTCATCTGTCTTGATATCCTTAATTTCTGAAATTCTCATCGCTGTTTCAGGTGTTTCAGTAAACTCGAATTTTTGCGTGTCAAGTTTTGGGGTACTACATCCTATAAATTTGTGCGATTTTGGCAACTTTCTTATTTTTTCAGACTTATTTGATTGTTCCATCAAGTCTTGTTCTGTTACATTTTCTGGAAAAAATTGTACATTTGATCTCTTTTTTTTTTTAGCTGACAAATTAGGTGTATCCAATAAAACAATATCTTCATTCTTTTGTGTAATCGATGAATCTGAGTGTGATGTATCTAATAAAATGGTTTTGTTTTCCATGTCAGATTTTTTTTTCTTGAAATCTCGTTTTATTTTTGTGCTTTTTACCTCAGGTGAAAGCATTTTTGTATTAGATGGAATACATTTAATAGAGTTTCCTTCTGTGTCTCCCTCCTCCTCATCCAATATAACATTTTCTTCCGCTTTGTTTTCCACATTTTCCACATCCTGTTCATTATTTTTATTTTTTATTCTCTTCTGTTTTGCAACTTTATTCTTTTCTTTTACATTTTGTTCATCTATACCTTCAACATCCACTTCCTCCTTTTCCGCATCCATATCTTGTTGATTACTTTTATTTTTTTTCTTCTTTTTCGCAACTTTATTCTTTTCTTTTATATTTTGTTCATCTATACCTTCAACATCCACTTCCTCCTTTTCTATATCCATGTCTTGTTCATTTCTTTTATTTTTTATTTTCTTCTTTTTTGCAACTTTATTCTTTTCTTTTGTACTCTGTTCGTCTATACTTTCAACATCTACTTCCTCCTTTTCTTCCTCGGCTTCTTTCATATTTTTCACATTTTCTTCTTCATTGTTACTTTCCTCTTTTTCTTCATCATCATGGAAAATGTTGTCATCATCATCATCATCATCATCATTATCATCGGCTTCTTCTTCTTCTTCTTCTTCTTCTATTACTTCATCATCATCAACTATAAAACTTGCAAGATCTGAACCATCATCATCAGGATCTGAAGCTTCCGATTCTGAAGCTCGGCACTCATCAGCAGGTACATTATCATCAGAAAATTTTTGTTCTCCTCCATTCAAATTATATTCTTTCTCAATATCAGAATTAATTAATGAATTAACATCAGAATTACTGTCAGAATCATTGCTATGAGTTTCAAGTGGAATAGCTGGAATGTAAGAATCTTCATCACTGCTATCTGATTTCTCATCAGAATTTGATCCATTAGATGCTATTATAGAATAGTTTTTAGCAAACTTCATAACTGGTATAACTACTTCATCTTTATCACTTTCATCATCATTTGACGTCTCAACATTTGGCAAATTCTTCTCTTCAGATTTGCTCGTGTTTTCATCTGTATCTTGTGATTTATTCAAGGAACGTTTTTTCTTTTGTGATTTTTTTTCCGAATCTTGTACTTTCTTTTCTAAATATAATGTGTCATCCAATCCTTTTCTTGAATACTCTTTTTGAGATTTATTTAGAGAAATATTTTGGACAACTTTATCTTCTTGCCTTGAAGGTATATCTTTTGTTGAAGATTTATTCAATGATTTTCTTCTTTCCATTGATTCTGATAAAGATTTATTTTTCTCATTTACTCGCAAGCTTCTGTTTGATCTATTTGAATCATCTTCAATTTCATCTGATTCATCATCTGTTTCAAATGATTGTTTCATTGCTTTTACAATTTGCCCTGATTTATTTAATTTGGAAACAGAACGATCATTACTTTGATTCAAAATTGCTTTAAACTCATTTACAGATTTATCTACATTCGCAATAAAATCGTCCGATTCATCTTCCGTACAGCTAAGTGAAGAATCCTTACATTTTTCAAGCATATGTTTTTTTCTAAATGAATTACTTGCTTCTTTATCGCTTTCTTCTTCCTCTATCATAATCAATGATTTTTTATCACGATTTCTTTCTTTCATCTTTGCATCTTGATTTTCTGATGATGAGTCTTCATTTATTGTGAGCAATTGTTCATAATTCGTTGTTCTTACGTCTGATCGGCTCTTTAATAACACAGTATCATCGGAATCATATTCGAAAGATTCAGCTTCTTTTGCCGCTTTTATGTTTTCAGCAGCCAACCATGCTTTCTTATCTACCAAGACAAGATCACATTCAGTTTCGCTTTCATTTTCTTTCAATAACTGAGAATTAGAGTGCACTGAGCTGATTTCAACATCCATTTCCTCTTCAATTTCTTTTTCGTTAAAATTATCACTAGGATTAGCATGAAACACACTAACATCAGGATCGATATTCGTATTTGTATCTTCCTGGTTTTTCAATTGCAAATCCTCTTTTTCTTTTTCTAACTGATCATGTATATTATCTGTATTTTTCTGTGTCAAGTCTTGTTTTGCAATATTTTTCAATGTACTTTTTGTTTCTGTTTTTTTAGACGACATATTTGTTGGGAATTTTTCGGAAGATTCTGTTAAAATAGGAGATAGAAGAACATCTTGAATTTCTGCATTATCCTCATTTGATGCATTGGATGTGGAATTAAATGTTTCCAGAGGAGCATTGGAGGATTCTAAATCTGATTCTATTGCATACTTCGAGGAATTCCTCTGTTCCTGTTCTGTAAAATCAGTATTATCAATATTATCCTGAGTTATAATTGACTGTTTTTCTACTGGATTGGATTGATCATTAGAATCTTTATTAACTGATGATGTGCCTACTAAATCTACTGAGGGAGATTTATTTTGATCTTGATCTTGACATTGCTCTTCTAATTTAATTTCATTATCATCAATTATAGAAATAGATTTCGAGTTTTTTGTGTTATCACTTTCCTGTTCTATTTTACTTTGTATTTTAGACGAATTTGGACTTTTATTTAATTCAATTTTGTTAAAATTTTTGCTAACGACTTCATCTGATTCAGCGATATCTTCTATTGTATTTTCAATAGATTTACTTATCTGTTTAATAGGTGTTTTATCTTTGACAGTAGCTTCGTCAATTACTTCTACATCTTCATGTTGTAGTAAAATTGATTCATTTGTATCGTTTGTAGTCGATTTATTATCTGCTTCATGTATCAAGCTCTGTCTTTTAGTTGTATCATTTATTGAAGGGCTACCTGAACACTTTTGTTTGTCTGTTAAATCTGAAATCAAAGAATCTGTAGAAATATCCATCTTTTCTTCAATTCTATCAATAACATTTTTGCATAAACTGTCGCATTTTATTATAGATTCTTTTGAGTGATATTGTTTACCTAAATTTGATTCATTTTTAGTAAATTTAGTTTCCTTTTCATTTGACGATTTATTCACAAATATTGGACTCAGACATTTCGTTGATGATGTCACATTGATAATAGCCTGTATGTTGCTTTCTAACGAGTCACTAATAATATTCAGAGTTTGATTTTCCTTGTTACCCGGGCTTTCTTTTTGTTCCATAGGATTCATAAAGTTTTCAATCTTAATCATTAATTCCTTCGAATATTTTACTGACTTTTCTTTTCCTGGTGAATTTTTAATTATTTCCAGTTTATCTTCTTCTTTAGCACTTGAAAGAAGATTTGAATTGTTCTGCATTTCATCAGTTGTACTACTAGATGAATTTTCCTCAGATTTGCGTTTTCCAGCTATTATAAATGTAAAAAAAAATATATAAATTTTGACTTATACTATTTTATATGAATTGATATGTATAAGCGTAACACTTTTAAGTAGTTGTAATAAAGGTAATGTGTGAATCTAATACTATATAATAATTTGAGATGTAATAGATGTATTTTTTAAAGTACAAGAAAAGTATAATTATAATATTTGAAGATATAGGAAAACAATTTTTCAATTTTACTTACCAAGAATAGTTTCATTGTCCTTTGTTATTTTATCTGTATGTTCATGTATTTCGTCTTTTTCCTCTGATAGTCGAAGTACTTGTTCTGATTCTGAATAAACAGATGAAACAGTATTAATAACTAAGATAGATAAGATAATTGAAGGTGATTTGTTCGCAAAAAAATTTAGTAAGATAAAAGCATTTTTTTTTAAATTATATTGAATTATATTGAATTAAAAACTTTGCTTACCATGAGTATCTTCTTCAACTTCACTATGTATACTTTGACTTTTCTTGTTAATTCTTTGGCTTTGTTGGAAACGTAATGCTTTTTCTGAAGAAGAATCTGAGTTTCCTGCATATTTAATAAAATAGATTTGTTATACATTCGGACTACACAAACATTAAATAAATTGTATATAAATGTGTTGTATGTAAATAACACATACATGTTAGGTATTAAATAATATGTTCATATATGATTTTTGACATAAATATTTACTTGTTAATAGACGCAACAATTTAAAAAACTACCTGAATTTGTTAATTCCTCAGTCTCAACTATTGTAGCATCCAATCGTACATAAGGTATAAGGTTCTTCTTTTCATCTTCTTCTTTAACTGGAGAACCTGGTGTCACATGTCGTTTATATGTTTTAATTGGTGTGCCAGGCTGACTTCTATTTTGCTCAGAAAAAGATTCTGGATCGACAGAACTAGCTCTTGTTCTACGTGTTCTAACCACCGGCAATGGTGATTTTGCTTCAGAACCAGCTCGTATAAAACGCTTACTGGTAATTATTTCAAATAAAACATTGCATCAAATAATTTTATACATATATCATGTATTCTATTAAATATGATATAGCATACCTTGATGCTCGAGTGTTAATTTTAGTAGGAGTACCAATAGAACCAGCAGTCAAATAGCTCCTTGTAATTCTTTTCTTAGGTGTCTCTACGATATCGACGTCTATTGATTCATTGATATCCGAAGAAATGGAAGGCTTCCTAGTACGACCATCTCTTAATGTTTCATTATCCATGGTTGCTCGACTTCTAGTGTTTCTGACCAGTTGACTATTGCTGATGCTACTAGTATCGCTTTCAGGGGAGACTGGTGAATGTTTACTCTGCTTTATTCTGCTGCTACGGCGCAATGGAGAATTCACTGTAGAATGTATGTTAAACCTCTGAGATCGTGTACGACCTATGATAACAATATACAAAATAACGAAAAATTAAGTTAACTAAATCAATATAAAAACAAGATCTGAAAGAAAAATCCAATTTTGAAATCTAGCAATTCTTTGTACGATTAAGCAATTAGGGAAAATATGTTTGTAATTTTGCCTTTGTTTTCATATAAAATATTTACACATATTGTCTATATAAAAAATATAAAAATATAAAATATAAAAATATAAAATATAAAAATATGAAATATAAAAATATAAAATATAAAAATATAAAATAATAATTAAGAATAAAGAATATTAAAAAATAAATCAAAAGACTAGATATAGAATATTACAAACATATTAATAAACTAACAAATCAATATATTCAGTTACAGGTCAAAGGGGGAAATAAACAAGGCATCGATATCTTCGAAACCGGCGAGATATTTTAATGATAGCGATCCCGAGAAATCTCAAGAGAAATTCAAGAAAATCATTTAGAAATGGAAACAAGAAGAATAAGCAGAGAAAATTCACTTGCATTCACGTCCTGCTCGGCGATGAACGGGAGCCAATGTCGAATCGACCGTTAAAATCAACCGTCTCGCGCGCAGTAAGTCCGAAAAAAATGTGCGATACAAACCTGTTTTCGACTCCGCATCGTCGTCTGAGTCTCTCACAGATCGCGGCATCCCTGGGATTATTTATATTGCGCCGGTCAAATAATTATCATTCGTATACAGGGCGAGAGATATGGGCACGTAGCGAATGCCAGCGAAAAAAGGTTATCAGAAACCACGTGTTTACTCGCCGATACGAATTTCGAAAGTCCATGAAGAGCATTAGAGCCAGCGATCGATGAACCTTGCCGATTTTCCGTTGTCCGCGTGACACGCGCGACATCTGCCGGCGAGCGCTCGAGACAACTGTCACTTGTCTCCCTTCAAAATCGACTGTCGATTAAGATAATTTAATTTAAATTCGTAATTACCGCGCGCAGTCGCTTGATGTCGTGGATCGCGTATAATTCTCGAAGAACTTTAGGACTAAATTCAATTTCGTTGTCTAGAAAATATTTATGGGAACTGTAGAAAGTTTTAGCGCGTTCTATTTCTTTGAACGAAAACTACTTTCACGGAGATACTTGGGGATAAATCGTGCAGACTTCTATTGAAATTTATTGGTAAGAGTTATTAAAATATGCTTCCAGTAATATTTTGATATTTTCGATTATATGTGTAAATAATACAAAAAAAATTGACTAGGTATACTAGTATTACTCTACAGATTTTCATAGTCATTATTAAGATATGATTGTAATGATATTTTAAGGCCGCGTGAAGTGATTCTTAATTTGCAATAAAATTCGGAACATATTTGCAGAAAAAAAATATATATCTACATGTATAAAATACATACTCAAACACACATAAATATATTAGCAAAGTACAGCATGTAAAATTATAAATAGAATTCGATCTTGAATTTTATTGAATATTGTCGTTTAAAATCAATTTTGTATGAACATTTTTTGTAGTAATATTTATAATTAATGTTTAACTATTTTTTTCTTGTTTAAAAGACTCTCTCAAAAAAGGATTTCTATCAAGCCCGGCTAGCTCAGTCGGTAGAGCATGAGACTCTTAATCTCAGGGTCGTGGGTTCGAGCCCCACGTTGGGCGAATTTTTTTTTATCATATCGTTGTTTGTTAACTAGCGAAAAAAAACAATGCATTATTTATTTTTAAAGTTTATTTTTGAAAAAGCTATTTTTTTAAAGTTTATTTTTATCAAATTGTTAAATATTTAAAAAAATTTAAAGATATAAGAATTGTATAATATTATGAAATACATGCAACTTTCTTTTCTAATTGATTTATCTTTTTTACAGGGGAAGCACAAAACAAGGATGAATATCTTACGCTATACTCTTTATAATAATTCGTTATCAACACTAATCCATCTGCGAATTAGAGATACACGCGGTATAAGGTGAAAGGCTGTCCCTGATCAGGTAAAGAATTTGTTTCTTTCTTGGCTGATTTATCAGTGTTTTTGTCTTTTAAACAAGAAAAGTTAAAGAATAAAGCGTATAATTCATGAAAGACTCATACTGATAAGAAAAAAGATACTTTTATAATCTCTAATCAATATATATCAATATATAGAATAGACTTTTGGTTATCGAGGCTACATCGATCTATTTCAGCTGTAATTTCATTAATTCAATTTCATCAATTTCGATTAATTTATTAAAAAAGTTTGTTTGATATTTATAGAAATCGCATAATATCGTATACAATGACAACTGACAATAGTAATTGATAGTGAAAAATTGAAAATTTCAGAAAAATAATAGCGATACTAAAATGAATGAAGTGATATGAAATAACTTTCAACATTACAATTGACTTGTTATACTTTTTTAAAATTTGTTCAATGATATTCTTAGATAATTATCGCATTTTTAAAATGATTTTATAATAATCGTTCGATTAAATGTGGGAAATATAATACAATTAATTATTTATTATTAACAAGATACATTAAATTTTTTCTATTCAAAATACAACATGTTATCTATTAGATTGTTTGCAGACTGTAATCTAACGTAACAATCGAGTTTCGTGTGTTTTGAATACATGTTATTTCACAAAAATTAAAAAGAAAATACGTTAAGGAGTTTAAATAATTTAGCTTAATTATTTAGATTTAATAATTATTTAGATAATTATTATTAATAATTATTTAGATTTAATAATCAAGATCCAAACTAATTGATGTCTGCTATATTAAATAAAGACGTCGAACCAAGCACGATTCATCTCAATTACGCGCGAAAGATTCTCTATAACGTGTCATTAAGTTCAGTCTTGAATCATTTCACATGTTCCGCGGACATGGACAGTAGCTTCATATAATGACTCGTATGTTTTTTGCTTTCGACATCATTATTCATTTAAAGAGCAAATACTCAAATTTGATAATTGTAATTAAGATTTTAATTTATAGATAAATAAACATACATGTATGAATTTAAATAAAAAAAAATTAATTTAAATAAAATTTAATTCAAATAGAATTTAAATAAAAAAAAATTAATTGAATTTTATAAGTGAATATTCGAATAGATGTACAGAATATTTTAAAATTAACTCTGAGAATTTAATGAGAGTTTAATTTTAATGATAAGCTTTGACGAATCTAGAGTAGATTTTTTTTAAGAAAATTATCGAAAGAAATAATTAATTTTTTCTCTCCCTCTCTCTTTCTCTCCCTCTCTCTTTCTCTCCCTCTCTCTTTCTCTCTCAATAAATATTTTGCACGAAACAAAGGATTCTTTTCTTCTTTGCGGTGAATCAATAGTTAGTTTGCGTTGGAAGAGAATCAGCATACATTTTGCAAGCGTTATTTAGTCTCTGTGCACTTAAATTGCACGTTTGCACTTTGATAACTCGCTGATCACTTCATTTACGGTTCTGATTATATATTTATAACGATTTCACCAACAGGATTTAGTATGAAACACGATCCCTAAGTTGATGAACGAGAGGGATCGGGTCACGTACAAGCAACTTTGTTGACGTAATAATATACGAATCGGTGCGCGTACGCAAGAAGTAAGATAAGGAGCGTCGAGACGAAATCTCTCGTCGCGTCTGACTAAGTCGAGTGCTTACTACTTGCCGCTTTGATTCGCTTCACACCTCCGCGGATTCCATTCCTTGATGCACAATTTTTTTCGGGTAACGGCTGATTATTGTAATATTTTGACAGACATATATTTTGATTTCGAGCACACGTTTTTAATATACAGGGTGTCCCGAAATTACCGCTTCATATTTTAAAGGTATTCTCTAAAAGTGAATCAGAGTATTATCATACTGAAAAACAGTAAATAGTCACTGATTACAGCAGTTATAAGTGCAGCACTGTAAATCAGTGATACATTATTGAAAGAATCAGTTAATAAGTTTGACTGTTTTAATCAGTAATATTTCTCAATATCAGTAATATTCCTTTCGTTATTGTCCGTAATATTAAACTATAATTCAGCTCTCCATCTATTTCATATAAAATTAAAAATTTTATTTATATTTACTAAATATTTATTATATTAAAAATATTAAATATTTATATATAAATATATAAATATTAAATATTAAATATTTATTATATTAAAAATTTTATTTTATTTATATTACATGCATATTCTCTCTAAAAGTGAATCAGTGTATTATCACTGAAAAACAGTAAATAGTCACTGATTACAGCAGTTATAAATACAGCACTGTAAATCAGTGATATTTTATTGAAAGAATCAGTCAATAATTTTGACTGTTTTAATCAGTAATATTTCTCAATATCAGTAATATTCCTTTCGTTATTGTCGGTAATATTAAACTATAATTCAGCTCTCCATCTATTTCATATAAAATTAAAAATTTTATTTATATTTACTAAATATTTATTATATTAAAAATTTTATTTTATTTATATTACATGCATATTGAACTTATTTTAAATAGATAACGAACGAATAATTTTTATTAAGTCGCCAGACATTTAATTGTCCGACTTATAAAGATCGATTTAATATCTGAAGCCTCTCTATTGAGCTTGTATCAGAAATTAAATCGAAGTAATACTTCTAATTTTAAATGTCGCTCTTTGCAAACTTTATATAATTCTTATAACTAAAATTAAATACGAGAGAGATAGCGATTGTAGCGGTAAATGAACGAACTAGCGATTACTGGTTTTACAGTAAAATTTACTGATTTTAGAGTGAATTTTATTTTAACTGACCATAATCAGTGAGATATAAGATAAAATAACAAAAAAAATAAGCGTTTCCGTTGAAAATCAGTAAAATACTCACTGATTCTCAGTGAAATCTTATTTTACTGTTTAAATTAGTGATATTTTCACTGATTCACTTTTAGAGAGTAGATTCAATGTCTAATTTGAAAACGATTTTTCCTCAACGAAAACGTCGAGGCACTAATAGTTTTCGAGTTATAAATGATTGAAAATAAAAGGTTTTTCGGAAACTAAGCCTTATGGGAATAAAATATTAATAAAGTCACATTCTTTAGTTAATTTTAGGTAGAGTTTACTTTAATAGAATTTTAATTTAAGGTTTAGTTAGAAAGACATGATTAGATAACAAAAATTGGGAATATGCAAAAAATAATGATCTCCTTCGACATTTTCGCTGAGGAAAAATCGGCCAGAGAATCTACCTTTAAAATATGAAGCGGTAGTTTCGGGACACCCTGTATATTTTATATTTGATTTTCGGGAATTCTTGATTAAATCGATTTTAATATTTCAATTCTTAAATTGCAAAAATTCTTAAACACTCCTTGATCATAGATTCTATAGAGCTCCAAGTTTTTCAATAATGACTTTCGCGATCCATATTTTCAGCGACTATCGACTTCATGTTTATAACCGAATAACGTAACATGACCTAATTCTGTTAGGGCTGTACGCTTGCGTCTTGTCGAATCGATATTATCCCGGTCGACAAGCGATAACAGATTCTATAGAGCTCCAAGTTTTTTAATAATGACTTTCGCGATCCATATTTTCAGCGACTATCGACTCCATGTTTATAACCGGATAACGTAACGTGACCTAATTCTGTTAGGGCTGTACGCTTGCGTCTTGTCGAATCGATATTATCCTGGTCGACAGGCGATAACAGATTCAGCAATATATTTTTATAGATTCAACAATAGAAGAGAGAGAGAGTTGACAGGAAAGAAATTCATTAATGAAGTTTTCCTTTATTGATATACTTTTCACTCATTTTTCACAATATTGGAAAACACAATATTTGTTTCGAATGTTTTCTGTATGAAGAA